CCAATGAAATATCCTTATAATTAGGTATAATTACACTGATGACAGAATATCTAAAAGCTAATTAGCATTTGCAATAGAAGCTAGTAGGTCACTAGCTAAGAAATGAAAGTATCACGGTTTTTAAGTTCTCACTCTCGTCGTAAAGTACAACTGTAGGATTAAGTAATTCAAAACCAAAACTCTATTTAATTTCATTAAATAATTATACTTGAGATTGAAGGATTTTGTTGTTGTGTTTGTTGCCTAACCCATCTATGCAAATAGATTGATAATGAAATACTGTGCTGCATGATAATTATGAGCGAGGACGAAAATAAAGTGGGTAGATGTTATTCAGAGGTTAAGTTGTATAACAGTAATCATTCACGCCAAGTCACGTTCAACCATCCCCAAAGTGTAATATATAGAATAAGTGTCATCATATCGGTCATGGTCTTATATAAATATTCCTACATGCATAACATTTCAGGTACTAAAACACATGATTATGATAATAATATACGATGTTGATGCAGTATACCATAACTTTCTCTAGTTATACCATCTGATGCAATTGAGTCCTCCAATGGATGGGCCAGTCCTTAACAGTAACGTCTGCTCAAGTGCGCCACCTAGTGGTCAAAGGTTGTATTAATATTTATAATTCCATGACGTTTGATGAAGGAGACGGACGGAATTAGGGAAACTACCCTGAACTCTTTAGTTATCAATTGATCTCGGGTACGCAGTCAATTTTACTATAAAACGATTTTATTATATACTACTTACTTCTGGGTGTCCATTAACGCGTGCTTAATTAATTAATTCACGATTATTATAGTAATGTTACATCTCGAACAACGCTTCAAGCAACCTTGAAATAATTATATATATATATATGTATATATCGAAAGCATACTATAACGTTTTCCACGGAGTCTTGACTGGATGACCCTTCGAGATGACATTACGTATTGTAAGTCTAACAAAGGTCTGAGTCGAGGTTTTTTAGCCCTTAGATTATTTGCTGAGTATGAATTAGAAGCAATTACGTTTTGTGATAATATCTATTACCTTAATTTCCATTAACACAATATTGATTCACAGCAGAATAATGCATCGAAACTTTGAAATTCAAACCCTTTAAACTAGCGATTCCGCAGAAAGGAGACGCCTAAGGATAACAAAATGGAAAGATCAAGTGATGACTTGCGTGACTGAAATTAGAGAAAAAGTTCGATTTCGGATCTGACACGACAGGCAGTTGTTTAGCTTATATACATTCAAGTATAAAGATATTTGGACAAGAAAAGTTGAAAGACTTAAATAGCAGGTTTTCAGTCAGTCCATGCCTAGCATACTCTCTAGCCGTCATTGAGAAAATTGCAGGTAAATTCAAGCCTTTTTATTCGATCTTTTAGCTCAAGATATCTAATTCTTTCGTTCCACATATTTAATTCAGCGTCTTTGGTCTCCATGATTAAGTTCTGATACGGAGAGGAACAGAGCGAGAATTAAAACATGGTTTTTAATTGATTGCAGAAACAGCATTGCAATTTTCAATACTTGACTCATATCTGGCTCTTACAAAACTATCATACTTTGACAAATCTAATACAAACGGCTGCATTCATATTTTCCATCTGTTGTCTTTTGAAGACTGGACGTTTAAAATACTGACAACACTGTTTTTTCTGCTCCCCAGCTGCTATGCCCATATGCTCTTGGGAAGTATATACACATCGTCATAATTTTTTAAAATGTAAATACCTTAAACATTTGACCAGGCAGACGCTGAAAAAATACTTTCCTATTGAAATTCTTTAATCAATAGCAACCATTCCTCAGTTCCCGGTTTGTATGGCTTGCTGGCTTTGCTTATAGCATCGTATAACCTCTGATGGGACAACATCTTCGTCAAGTTTAGTAAGATCTTCCAACAGGTTATTGGCATAACTATGGAACTAAGTGCGCCTCTCGGTTGGCTGCCTTGCCTTTTTTGTTCTTATTTTCATTTTCATACGAGACTGAATTTATCAAAACAGTCACTAAGACCGCCCAAAGTCGTTGTATTTCACCTTTAGATATATTGATGACGTCTTGTGTTTGAAAAACAAGAAATATATTGACCACGTCTATCGGATTTACTCATCAAAATTTGATATCAAAGACACGACAGACTCTTTGTGGTACGATATCGACCAACTTTTTCGGCCATAAAACTTCACAAGACACTTCGAAATATCCTAGTCCATCCTAAGGATAAAACTCCCAAAGAAAATACCGCAAGTGCGTATAACAGGCAGGAGATTCGGGGTCCGGCTCAATGAACATCAGGCCATAGACTCTCGCACATCTATGTCTTACCCAAAGCATAGCCGAATTATCTACAGTACATTGTTGCCATCTGGCGTTTCTTTCCGTACCGTCTCGTACATTGCGTACACCAGAGCTAGTTCGCTTCACACTGGTCATTTGTCTGATGAAGGTGACCGTGTAGTCATCGAAACGTCTAATCCACTACTGGCTGTGTTATAAAAACTTCAATTGTAAGTTGATATGACTCCTAGGTACTTAGGGGCTGGGCTACAAATGATGAGGTTAGGTAATATTTTGCCTCAAAATGCTCCTCTTCTGAGAGTTAAATGAATTTCAACGAAACGAGGTCTGAAATACTATTGTCGGTATGGGGCCATTAAAATCTTAAATCAGAAAATTGATTCTACCCATAGGAACTTGAGGGCGGGGCCAAATGGGGAGGTTACTCAATATTTTTCCTTCCAGAATGCTACCCACGCTAATACGTTTAATCAATATTGTTTTATTCAAATTGTCTGAAATATCAGTAGATGTGGGAACTTCATTCTTTAATTCAATTTAAACAAAAACAGCTCGAAATTATTAGGGAGTGGCAATGATACCAAAAGTGCATTGAGTGATCCTGAGATTGCTATGACCAAATCTCATTTTTTCGCTTTCGTCCAAAATCCAACATAACTTATCTCGAACAATTAGTCTGAACTACCTCTCACGTTTCATTCACAACATTGAGAAAAATATTTGAAATTAACTTTGTTAGAAAAGAAAGAGATGATATGTTGTTATCTATTTTTCAGCCTGGTCCAAACTTGTAACATGATTGCGCAACTGTTTTCATGTAGGGAATTTACCATTTATGAGTTTCTGTTACTTAAAGAAATTTCTAAAATTTGAATTAATCATATTTGTCAGACCACCATCTGCAAATTCCATCCATTCATCGATTGTCAGGTGGCCGTAAAAGCCATGGCCCTCTAGTTCTGTCTTTAACATAAACAAAATTTGATTTTGAGGTTTACGAAATTGGTACATTCGATAAACAACGGTTATATCTAAACAAGATTTATTTTCAAAGTAGACATTAATTATTCAGTTTATTAAGCATATTCCTTTCGACCAATTTTCAAGTTTACAGACGGGAACAGAATGGCATCTTTATACAAACAATCACAAGCTGTTTGTTGCTCTTGCTGCAGAAATCGAAGAGAAAGCGAATTATTTGGAAGTGAAGAGACAAAAATACGAAATATTCGACTCTTTCGACCAGCTTGGTTGGAACAGCTGGTATTATTAGCATTATGCCTGATGTACAGCTGCAATAATCTATATAAAACCTTGTGTAGACAAACGTCAAATCACCCACAAAGCCGTGCATGTGTATTTGTAAAGTAAGGATGACATTATCAATATTTATATATGTTTACATGTGATTTACATTGTGATTTACAATAAACTATTGTGTGGTAAATCGTTCCCTGACCTACTTTCCTTTAGTCATTCCTCCAGTTGATGTTTGTCTTTACAAACAGTTACCATTCCGACTACGTTGTGGTTAATTTTAATAACGATATTAGTATAAATCCAAATAAATGCAACGTTTGAATGTTAATTTGCTTGATTTGACAGCACTTTTCTGCATAAATATTGACCGAATGTTACCTGTACACGTATGTTATCATAGATAGTATCATAAGTTATTGATATATACACTGTGCCTATTCATTAAGAATTAAAGGGCTGTATGATTATTGATATCGGTCGGCTTGTATCAGTTTCATAATAAACATCTCACATTGCAGCTGTCAGACGTTTAAATAAGAATATATGCACCATTGATAATACAACAGAATGGTTAAGTACAGTTAATCTAAATGTAAATAAGGGTTATATCTAAACAAGCCATATATTGAACGTCAATTCATTACGACACGTGTTCCCGAAACAATGATGTATGTTACGACCAAATACGAATAGATACGGCATTTCCACAAACTGTTGGTTGATCAATGTCTGGAATGTTTGCGTTTTCTACTAGTTTTTTAATCTATATATTATATTAAGTAATTTATTACTTTAGTAAGATGTGTGTATTTCGCTCCCCGAAAAAATGTCGTAAATACTTACTTACATTCTGTGATAGTGGTTTGCATTTTCGAATTTCAACAATTTGTATATCATCGAGGAAATCTTATGATTAATGTATTGTTCAACTCCGTCATAGATTCAATGATGTTTCGTACAGAAAAAAAAACGTATACTTATTTATTGACTACTCCAAATCAACCGAACATACCACATTTGTCAAATTAACGCAAACATGAATTGATCCATTTGAATTCACAATGATAGATTTACAAGCAATATACAGACATTGCAATAAGCACAATCATGTTAAAGCACCATAGTATCGACACTGAATAACATTACCGCTAAATAATGTTCATAGACAGTAATTAACTTGTATAGTGTACATTTGTCACAGCTTCCTTCACCATAATTATTTCGTAAATGAAATTATAGGTAAACTTTATCCGAACTACGAAAGAAGTCTCCTCAATAAAACCAGTGCATATATGGATAGGTCAAATAAAACGTTTTCGCGAAGAGAAGCTTCTTGCTCTTGAATAAACAATCTTATCCATGTATATTATGGATTATATGTTTCACCGTAAAATATACACGAGCGCGCGAGAGAATGTTCTTTACTCCATTTTTCTAAACGTCGGAAAAATTGGAATATAATTGCATATCCTAAACTTTTGGAGTTGTTTTGTGAGAGCAGGAATTTCGTACAGTTCCGTTCCCTCCTCATAGTCTACTTTGGTATCTCCCTCATCTCCTCCTCCTAACCACGCTATCATTCCCCTTTCCTCCTTAGTACCTGTCATAATTCAGAAAACTCTCGGGTGAATAACACCTTTGACATGCATTATTCATCAAGATGTATTGCATAATAATCAAATAAGGAAAATTATGTAGCATATTTGTTTCAACCTTTTCGTGACCTGGGGACAAACCCACACACTTGCACCTGATATTTAAAAAGTATGATAATATTGTTGCAAAGTGCTACTTAACTGCGGTAGGACGACCGTCTGTAAAAAACCCAGTGACAACGTTGATTGAGCGAGATCATATTTGGGAGCCATAAATGATTTCTAATAGACATAATATGGTATATTTGAGTTAAATTATAAATTCAGTATCATGTTCTTAATTTGAACTGAAGAGTGCAATTCACTTGTGTGTCATTTGTACAATCTTCGACATTGCAGATAGACAGGCACTGTTGGTGTTTCTTTAGTTCTGTGGTTTGTAGTAACCTCCATGTCACATGTTAATTGATTCGATTATTATCACGATTCAGATACATACATGTAATTGTCGTTCTAATAATTTATTTTCCTCAATCGTCTTCTCGGTTTCAAATTTTAAGCCCTCTACGTCATTGACGAGTCCCAGAAGGAGGGAACAGCTGTATTTTAATAAATTATTCAGCTCTATTGTATGTTATTCCAAATTTGTACTGAAAGGTGGCCTTTCCTTGTGTGTCTTTTGTACAATCTTCGAGATTGAAGGCGGTTGACTGCTTGTTTGCTGTTACGTGCACATTACGTTTAGATTCATTCGAATAGTGCCACGATGTAGTCTATACAAGTGTATTTCACTTTAAAAATATATTTATATTGAAAATTATTCAGTTTAATGCATTCTGGGGTTAGAGCATCACTGACGAATCTTGGAAGGACGGAACAGTTGTATATGGCAGTTTACTTCAACAATTAACTATATTGTATCTAATTCCAAATTTTATGTGTTGCATTGTATTCGCTTGGGATTCAGCGAGTGTGTTCTAAAGACATCTTTATTTTTACGACAGTGAAGAAATTCCATATTAGCATATATCAATCACTCTTATTAGCCTGGATAGGAACGAGTTTACAAGTGGACATTAACATAAAAGGAATGAAAAAACATTTTATTAGATCAAAAGCAGACGCATTTAAACCAGTAAACAGCTTACACTAACTGAAAGAAATAGTCAAGTCTTCCACTCACCTGGTATGGTATTGTCTAGTAAGCACGCTATGATTCCCCCAGCAAGGTTCGGACTTGTCATTAATATTTGTAACATGTTAGTGAGTTCCTGTATACCTAGGAAAAGTATGAAATTACTTCGTTCACCCGTGTAGCCTAAACATCGACACTAGTTTATATTTGAAGTTCCAAAACATTTAAGATCAGTTAGTAAAACTTGTTATACTCTTCGAAACTAATGTTAAATTATCATTGGTGTTTTGTAGATCAAAATTACAATAGATAATACACATATCTGATCTTAAATGAATTTAAAAAGTCGTAGATATTTCTCCTTTCCTTTTTGAGCGTTTAAATTCCGAGACGAGTTTCATAAAATCTCATAAAAAATGACGATGTTTTGATACTCCTATCACATAAGACATAAAGTCGCATTTTGACAGGGTTTATAGTAAAAATGTGCATGACGAAATCAAAAGGAAGCTGCAATTTAATTGCTCATTTTTTAATTGATAACGTAGCGTAACATATTATATGCGCGAATATCATCCCGACTATCATTTTGTCACCAAGTAAAATCAATAACGCGATTACTAATATTACAGCAAGCTGCCAATCTTTAAATATTTGCTCCAAGTCCTTCATTACAATGATAACGATAATTTTAAAGCAATGAACCGATAAATGGCTATGAATATGGATCATGTTTTCAGATCAAGATACATATTAATCAATACTTGCTCTATTAATCCTTTCTACAACATACCTGTCTCAAATACGTCAAGATTTTTCTCTGACCAGCGCGGAACCATAATTCCGATCATTATAGACATTCCGACAATAGTGAGGTTTCGTGTAGACTTGACATCTAAGTAAAAGAGGTTAGAGAAAACCAAACCGACGAAGGCACCACCGCATATGATGCTTGTTGCTCCGAGCACGGCATATGGCACAGTGACAAAAAAGGCGGTGAATTTGCCAATGATCGCCACGACAGCCATCTGAATTCCAAAACACTGAAAAACTCTTCTGCTGGCAACCTACCATGTATATAAATCAATACAGCCAAAATTGAACGTTGAAGTGAGCACATACACTATGGGATAACACGTTCAAAATGTCCATTCAGATAAGGATATACTTTGTTACGTCCACTAAAGGTTTTGTTCTATATAGACAATAACCTATATCTTAATAGTATTTAATAGTAGTTATTTATGTTATTTACGCAGCAATTTCTCCTTTTGCTGGACAACAGAAAGAGAATACCGACATTTGATTATTTGTGACAGTTTGAATATCGGGGCGAATGAAATATTTCTTAAAAGTAGACAGTAAAAATCCTCCACAGAAATTAACATTTAGTGAGATAATGCAAGGGGTTATTTTTTGATAGCATGTATCTTGGTATTCTACACAGGTCTTATCCTACATTGATATGTTTATTATGTGAAATATCACTGAATTTAGTAAAAACAAAACTATATTTCTTGTGAACTCAGATAAAATCCATTTTAGTAAGTAATGAAAACATGTCCGACATTTATTGTTCAGATAAAAATAATAACCAAACTAAGATGAAGAGAATACATTTGTGCAATGTATAAACATTAGACAATCAAAATATATCTAGATGTTAAAACCAAACATTCGCGATTAAGAGAGTTACAAAAAGGAAAAGTTGTGTCATTGACAAGTGATAAGGTATCCTGTATCCCAAACTATAAGAAAAAATAACATCATGATGAATTAAAAATACATTACTTTTGGCTGTCTATTGACCTTGTAGAGTCCGCAGGCTTTCTTTTTTTTCTACGATATTACATATTCAGTAACAGAAATGTAAAACACCTCTCTGTATGCTCATTGTTATCAAATTTTGCAAGAAAACGGATTTTGGAATCGTTATGGAGACAACAGAAACAACAAGAATTGATGTAGCATGTTAAATTTTACATGCCTTTGTCATGCCTATGATACCAATATTTCCACCATATGTGGTAGTGGCATGTCCGGCCCCAAACATCCCAGCAATAGCACTAAACATGCCTTCCATAGCCACACCTCTGTTGATAGCGTGCACAGGAGGGGATGGTGCCTTAACAGTTCTTGCGCATGCGTAATAGTCAGCAATTGAATCAATTATAGACACTATAGTAGGTACCATAAATGATATGAAAACTCCACCACTAAAGGAAGATGGACCAAACTGACCTAAAATGAAATCCATAAAAGCTTGCTAAAAAGCTGTGAACCTTTATTGGTATAGAACTTTGTTGTTTTAAATCATCACTATATAAGAATGTTGCATTTAATAACATTCCAACGTTTTACTTTCAGTTTTGCAATGCCATATTTTTGAACAAGCTTATTGATTTTTCTTTAATATTTAGATTATTGTGCTCTTTCTACACGAAGTGAAACAAAATGTATACAACCTTTTTTTATAAAGCTCAATCGATGATATTGACATTGTTGCGATATACCTGGATATGGAACATACAACCATGGTGCTGAGGAGATTACGTGCATGCGCGTGTCTGTCCGAGAGAAGAACTGCTCACTTTTTACATCAGCACTTAGGTAATTGGTGACGGTCAGTATAGCAGCTACCGTCCAGCCGATAGTTATACCAATCAGAATCTTTAATGGTACAGATAATCAATATAGAAGTCAAGACATTGTATTACTGAGATAACATAAATACACATGCGATATCTTATTGTCATTTTCGAAATATGAAATTTTATATACTGAATTAGATATCTGGTATAGAATATAGGATATCTTATTTATTACATATTTATATGATACATTTTTATCAAAATATGAAATATGATCAATGACGCACATATTTGCAATAAATCAATATGGACAAATTAATTGTCTAAATTGGTGGCAATCAATCCCTTTATCGAGACACCAAAAATTACAAATATATTACAAAAAAAAAAAAAAAAAATATTATAAAAATAAAAAAGACGAATTGCTTGATTTAGGAGTGGGGTTTCAGGTACTGAATACGTTAGGCTTGGCTAAACCCGATTTAATAGCAGATACCAAACTCTATAATCTATGTAAATACTTACCGAAAGTACTTGATGCAGGGGGTAGCGAATGATTTCAAATCCTTTTCCAAACCTCCAAATAGGTATCGGCATTTTCTTGCCATTCAAGTACATCGAAAGCATTAAACATGGACAAAATGTCCTAGAAAATAAAATTTCTGATATCTATAACTGTCATTTCATTGATTGTTTCTATGACCAATGACAAAACTGTTTAAAAATAACTACTTACATAATCGTTACCAGCCAGGATGACTCGCAGAAGCTGACTAGTATCTCTGCGTACTCAACACTGATCAGGAGAAGAGTAGGTACAACAGTTATCGGACCAACAAAACGCATCAGGTACCCCAGCACACCTGTCAGTCCTATCATCATGTGGATACACCCTGCCAGGGTCAAACTTCCCTGCAACTAAAGAGTCATCACGTGGAAACACCCTGCCATAATCAAACTTCCATGGAACTAAAGAGTCATCATGTGGAAACACTCTGCCAGGATCAAACTTCCCTGCAACTAAAGAGTCATCATAAGGATATACCCCGCCAGGGTCAAACTTCCCTGTAAATAAAGAGTCATCATGTGGAAACACCCTGCCAGGATCAAACTTCCCTGGAATTAAAGAGTCATCATAATGATATACCCCGCCAGGGTCAAACTTCCCTGCAACTAAAGAGTCATCATGTGGAAACACCCTGCCAGGATCAAACTTCCCTGGAACTAAAGAGTCATCATAATGATATACCCCGCCAGGGTCAAACTTCCCTGGAACTAAAGAGTCATCACGTGGAAACACCCTGCCATAATCAAACTTCCATGGAACTAAAGAGTCATCATGTGGATACACTCTGCCAGGATCAAACTTCCCTGGAACTAAAGAGTCATCATGTGGATACACCCTGCGAGGATCAAACTTCCCGAGAAATAAAGAGTTATCATTTGGATATAGCCTGCTAGGATCAAACTTCTCTGGATCTGAAAAATATAACCAAGATGATACTTCCCATATATATATATATACATCCTGATAGAATAAAACTTCAATGGAACTAAAGAATCTTCATCACGTATATGCATCTTTTTTGGATCAACCTTCTACAGAAAATTTTGTTATTTAGATATATCTGATTTGGATCTCATGGAACTAAAGAATGAATTATTACTTTGTAGATACATCCTGCTAGGACACAGTTTTCCATGAAAGTGAAGAAGTAACATCATGTGGACACATCCCTCCAACTAAAGAATCATTCAAATGTTGTTACATTCCGCCAGAATAAAAACCTCACTGGAAATAAAGATGCATCAGATTTTGATGCATCCCGCTAGAAAGTAAAGTATCATAATATGGAAGAGTAAGGGTCTTCTGCTTATTCGACGACACTCGCCATGTAAACCTTGGTCAATCCAAGTAAGTAATGTCGCGCTCTGTGAACAATGTATGCAACAACAGAATAAACAGGCAAACTAACAAGCATCAAACACGTCTAGCTTGATGTCGCACAAAGAAATAGAAAATTTCTCGAGGAGATCATTATTATTAACCAACCATTTTTACTAAACCGCATAAAATGTGCTACCCTATCTCACAGTTGTGCGATAGATACTGTAATAGTGTGCTCAAGATGTATGCTGCACGATGTGCGTAAGAAGTTAAAAAAATTACAATTTACAACTGTAAAAAGATACAATGAAAACAAGTAAATCCCTGAACTGCAATTAAAACAGTCTAGAATATTCCGCCATGACAACGACTTTTGGGGCATTGTTTTAGAAATTTTGATAAAGAATAATGATATGCACACATAGAATAGTCTTAGACAGATCAGACATTGTTTATCATATGATATTCTTCTCAAACACTGATTAAGAAATTCAATGTACATACTAAACGTAGTTTTGGCATAACGTACATCTCCTCGTAAGAAACGTCGAAACTTCCAGTTGTTGTATTCAACACAGATGTATTGTCAAGAGTGCCGTTGTAAATGTTGCCTAAAATGCAAACGTTGTACAGACATTTAACTGTTCTGTGGACAAAAAAAATAAAATAAAATAAAACATCCTTTTAAAAATCAATTGATTGTTAACAGTGATGACTTTCTAAATACTTTATTTTCGGTCTGTGTTATAACAAAGAAAAAAGAAATGCAAATTTACAAAATTTCCACGGCAAATGGCAAATAATGACTTAGTTATATATTTGACTTCTTATGTGCTATTTTTCTTGACTGTTGTTTCCTCGGTTACAAGTGTTTGCTTCGCACATATCATACCCTGGTTGTATATATGAAAATTTGGACACTGCCAATCCGGAAGTGACTTGAGCGCCATGAGTGGTAGGACATACTGCGACATTGGTCCTTGGTAGACAGGTAATCTGAAGTTCAATAAAGATAAACCAGTTCACGTCATCACACCATAGCAATGATTTGTAATGATATCCTTGTTTATTATAGCTAAGCAATAAGTAACCTGACAGACATTATAAGTGGAATAGAAGGTAGATACATTAATTTATCGGGATAGGTAAGAGAGTGCCAATTTCATGTTTCACCGGTTAAGAGAATTGTCACTTAAAAAACGAACCATTAGTCCAGGCGATTTTCCTATAAATACATTGAATCTTTAAAATCTTTGACATCAATCAAACTATGTATTTCCACAAAAAACATCGTGACCACACGTGGACATTGTACACGATTTATTTGACGAAATACACGCTTTGAATTCCAATATTCCTTGATGTCTGCTCAATGTCCGGTATTTTGCTAACAAATAGTTTGAAAGATTCGGAGGCATTTATCTGTATTGTTCACTACTTTAATAACAGAGCCTTATCTACTACATTTTCCTTGAGTAGCAAGCCACAATCGGATTATTTATAGGTTATCTGATTAATGTACTATACAGCAAATAGTCGATAACTAAAGGTGCCCTAGCTGTACAGTATTAAATAATGGAACTGCAATACCCTCTTGGTTATGGCTGAAGCTTGAAAGCTCAGTCGGGTCATTTTTTCATTTATTTTTCAATTTCCTTTTTCTATGTTTCTAATATTTATTATGAAACTGGTTTATAACAAATCATATAACATATTTTTTCTAAACACTTTGTTTTGATGTTTTTGCTTGTTTCATCACAATACTATATCACAGTACTGTATCACAGGATCCAGTATTGAAAAATAGTGGCATTGAAAGTATAGTGATATGTTAATGTTAAATATAGGTTAACTTGACATAATAATAATAAAGAGAAGAAAAAGAAGAAAAAGAAGTAGAAGAGGAGGAGACTTGACAATGAACGATTTATGTCGTAAAAGGCAACTGAAGAGACAAAATTATTCAAATTATCTGCTGTACTCTACGTCTTTCTTTGCATCGTTTAACATATAACGTAAGTGCAAAATGTAGACGCATTAATGATATCTACATTAGGGATATTTATATAAAGATGTAATTTAGAACTGCAGCAGAAATTTGAAACATTAAATGGAATTGCTTTGTAAACGAATATTTTTGGTGGGTTTTTTTTATTATTGATGAAGATTTTCGTGTATCCATGTCAAAAAGCCAAATAGGTCCATAATTCCTTTCGTATTGACGATAGGAAAAAGCAATATTTAAATGATGTTACCTAACCCCTAAAGTACACTGAAATAGTGTACATATTCCAGCCAGGAAAACTGTTGTTGAGAGCATCTGCGCTTTAAAGTATTCTATATCCCTTGCACACGTTAACTCTGCTATTAGTGCCACAGTGAAGAGACATGCTGGAATGGAGACCATACTTTGCTGTAAAAAAAATAGGTCACTGTGCATAAATTGTGGCAATATGATGAAGACTGTACAAAACCAGGCAAGTGAATAACACCTTTAATACAAATTTAGAGTTCAACACAGAAATGCCAAACAATGAAGTGAACTGTTTCGTCCTTCTATGACTTGTCAGTTATGCTGAGGTCATAAATACAATGTATTGGTAGAAATTCGTAAAACATCTTAATACAAACATATGATTTTGATAATGATTGAAATTTTTAATCTAAAGATATGATTTGATCATTACATGTTTGTCACATTTAGAAAACTTTTCTGCAGTTAGATGTGAAGTTTGTTTCCGAGCATTATTGAAAGAAAATGAAATAGAGGGTGTCATTAGTACAACATAGTTACTCTTGTGTGTTTGTTGTAGACTGCCTGAATAATCAACATCGTGTTACATCAACAGCATGATTGCGTCGGTGATACATATAATTAACCTTGTTCGTTGTATTCACCTTACAACCTTTTCATCGTCACATCAAAATAACCCATCATAACAATAACTTTGATACCTTTCTTTATTACGAAATGGGAAGAAAAAAGAAATTCATTCACGATGTTACTATTTATGAAATGTTTTGATAATCTTATAATAGTTTCGTAATATTGTAAATGATAGTTGCTTTAAATGTCGGTCATTTATATAAGTAATGTACAATGTGTACTGGATATTGAGCATTAAATGAAAGAATATATATGGTAAAACGAATTGCAATATGAAACATGAGACAAAACAAAGTAAATGACTAGTATTTGAGTGTTGAAAGTCCTATCTCCCATACACGCTATTTAAATGCATCTTATAGCCATTGTCAATATATTTACCTGTAGTGCAAATAAAAAACTGAGATGAATGGGTGGATTTTCGCTAACTCTGTAGATCAAAGTCCTTTTCTCTGCTTCAATGATGACAGACTTCTCGTTCTCACCAATGTCAAACGATTTACCATTGACATAGTTTTCTTCCTTGCCATTTACTTTGACATATACGTTTCCAGAATCCACTGTTATAGGGAAGCGTCCATCACCGGTGTCTGTGTTTGTTTCCGACTCCATATTTCCAAAGAAATGAAATCGTCTAGGTGGAGATAATGTTGTCTACCTTAGTATAACTAGAACTGAAGGATGTTTTGAAGAATATCTTCATTTTAAATACTGTAATAATAATTTATTTATCTATAGTATTTATATCACATGTAACATATTCCAATAAGACAGCACATATATTTCACTCTCATCGATTGGAGAAGACATATGGTATTATGATGACAAAGATATATTAATATTTCGTATATTAATGCGGATACAGATTTCTAATACATTAAGTTATATTCATTTCAGATGTAATGTATTAGATAATATATAGTATATATAATGAGGAAAATAAATTTATTTTCGGGCAAAGAAAAGTTTGACGCTACTAATATGCTTATATATGTAATGAATCAACAATACGATAGTAGATAGTGTGTAGGGGCCATTAAATTATGTTTACCCCGCGCGTCTACTTGTTTATTTGAAGACGGTTCATTATCTTGAGATCGATATCTACAAAAGTCTTCCTACATGTACGATATTTACATAGTAAGAGGTGTCCGCGTAAGACAAATTATTTCTTTCGTTAAAGCATCATTGTCAGACAGGTGATAAGGTATCATTTGTTGCAGCCATCTTTAACAGACATTAATCTGAACCAGACATATCAATTACACCTTCCCAAGGTCCAAGTCTCAATTTACGATTATATAATAATAGAACTGAAGACGTTGAGACGTGGAATTTACAAAAGTTAATATCATAACAGACATAAAACTAATCGTAAAATAGATACTTTGTTGCTGCGCTAAGCAGTTGATTGGTTCACATTTAAACCACGCGCCAAGTGCAACCTACTTGTATCAAACGTGCTTGAATCGAATACATTGGATGAGTCGAATGTTTTTTCTGTCATGATTTTTTCTCTTCTAATTTCTACGGAAAAAATTTCCTTTTTGGTGCCGAACATTCAGGCGTCACCTTGAATCCTGTTAAAATTTTCGGCTTCCGGTCCAAATGAGTGTGATTGGTCAGTCGTACACGCGTCTGTGTTAACGTGCCCACTCGTAATTTTCGATCGAACATTAATCCCTGCGGTTACACAGGTGAAAGAATTTTCGTCCAGAATCAGGTAGCCAAACTTCAAAGGTTCTGTGGGCTCATAAATGCCTTTGTCAATGCCAGAAAGCAGTTGGATTCGTCATATTTTCAGAAAGGAACAAACCGCAAGTCCAGCCTCTCACTGTTAACCGTAAATCTCTTGTGTTTTGTTCACTTTTTATGCGCATGGCTGCTGAAACGCAAAAGGAAAAAAAACAAGCGATAACTATTGCGCTGGTGCAAATGAATAAAAATACAAGTATGTCATTGTTACACATTAGTTTATGATTTTAAATACCTTTACTTGATATACATACACATATAAAAAGCGCAAGTTTAATCTGATTCTATTAAACGGTATACGCTCTTACGGTGTTGTACGTGTAAAGTTATGCTTCAGTGACGTTGCCACGGCCTTCACCTTTTTGTAACCATGCTCTGTGCTATCGATGTTATATCATTATGGAATGTTCATGAGTACGTATTCATTTTTAAAAAGTTTTGTATATGAGAATGGGTGCATATCCACACATGTGCTGCAATTCAAGGACGAGTGTTTCATATTACATGTTTTGTTATAGTTGTACTTATAACTGTTCATTTGAAATATTTTTATCCATTTACTACTATACACAGAAATCCCTTTAAACATTGATGGCACATAGTTTTCCAAGTTCGTAAAATGACCTTTCGATTAAAGAACTACGTCTCTTTTATAAATAGAGGACACAAAATGGTTTCCCGTTTACCATCACATATATTTCACAAGAATGACAGAATATATATTTCATATATCTGATATAAAACAGTTTGTATATAAATAGTATCTTGAAATTCAAACATTTGTTTTAATCCTAGCTTAAATCATGCTAATATCAGCATCACAGATGTCTAATTATTTTATTACACATTGATATTTGCTTACGATGGAATCTTTATTTTCTAAAGATTTTTCTCTTTGTTAAAAGTGTTTTCAGATTCTGTTGCTGTCACTTGCAGCCAAGTTCTTTACGTTTTTAACATGTGAGCGCACATGTTCAGATTAGGTAATAAAACGGCACAATGTAGACCACAGAAGAACTTACAAAATTGTCAACATAATCATAATCCAAATATGATTATAAATGAAAGAAAGATTACACGGAGACTCCTGAAAATACACTGGGAATAAGACCAGGTGTTCCGAAAGAGTAGGCGTCTTCTGCTTCAATATATATAATAACGGAATCAATAGAAAAACTAAAACGTCCATTTTCATACATTTTTTGTAATCATTTTGTAACAAATTTGTCGACGATTGACGGTTTTCTTGCACGATGTGTTCCTTATAGTTACTGCCAATCAGAATCATTTGTACCTATTAGTACTACAATTTTATAGATTGAGATATTAAAGGTTACTGTTACGCAAAAACAGTTATTTCAACCATTTTATTTGTAAACAACACCTTTTCCCTGATATCACAGGGTACGAAACCCAGCTTAACATTACACATTCACAACATTCCTAATCGTCTTAACCAGGCAAAATATGTCTTATTCAAAAACGCAACCTTCAGTCACTTCGGTTTAGCGTGTCTGGACCACTGTCAGTAGAGGATATGAGTTAACGGAAAGACAACACAATGACAGGAGGACTACCTATCAGAACAGCGCAGCCCAAACCTCCCTTTGGAACTCATGTACATACGTCTCACCGGATATTGCCACATCAACGTGTAGCTGCAGCGATCCTTTCTCCAAAGACACGAAAAGATAACTTTTAACGGAAATGTCACCAAGCACATTAACCTTTAAAGGTCATGTCTTAACAGGAACGTCTGCAGATTATCCAACATAAGGGATTTTTTTCAAAACTTTCCCTTCAATTCTACAACGATCATGGTACAGAATATTCTCACAAACATGCTGCATGACAAATGTCAGACTGTCACAACTCTTGTATCTCCAAATATAATTGTTGTCCCATCTCAATCACGCCCAATCGTGCTGATTGCCTGCAGTTGTATTTTGTGCAATCCTCAATAAATTATCGGAGACCATGTGATATTTCTACTTTACGCGGCGAAGCATCGCATATTCGAAAAGCTATGGAGATGATTGCTTCAGCAGGGATTGCAAAATTTCTTGTCGTTAGCTCGGATCCTGGCATTACACCCAATAAGCAGCTGCTGCACAGCTTCAGGATCATCCATCTCTACCCGAGGCCAATCATACCTAGCCGACACCACCAAGTCCACACAAACTACGAAGAGAATTTCACGAGAGGACCACCATGTTTCCCTGACTTCCAAATGTCTTTACTGACAACAAAGTATTGGCCTGTAAACGGAATTGGTCAATACATGGAAAGAGGACAGGATACCGACACTCATCCACTCCTTCCTCCAAAGTTCTATCCACCCAATCGCATCCCTTCTCAAAGCCAAATGGTCTAATGTAAATTGATTAACTTATTGTGGACATCTGACGCATTAAAACATGTTCATCGGCACGATTGCTAATGTAATAAGCGTTTGGTAAATGTTTCCTTTTGAGGCCATGGGCCAGCGGATAAGACGAGACGAGACGGCTATTCCGCCACAAATTGGACCCATCCAATAGCGGTCTGTTTAAAATCGTAACCATGGCAGCCTAAGAAGGTAACTTGGGTACTTAATGATAAAGCGCCCCCTACTTCAACGCTGGTTTTGTCCAAACACAATATGCTAACTGTCGACATCAAAGGTTGCTGAATTAGGCGAATTAAGAACAACATGTTCTGGCTGAAATATTTATACAAAGATGTCTATTTTAGCAATATTCGGCACCACATGATCTCATCCCCCATTCCTCCCTTCCATCGTACCCAAAAACTACTTTATCGATGTTCTAAGAAATCAGGTAAATCAACTACTCACTGAAAAGGAAACAAATAGTTTCCTTATCCACACAGGGCAGTGAACAGTGATCACTGTGCAGTGAGCAAGCTAATACACCGCCGTTTCTATCGATACATTCGCTCAGTGTATATCAGAAATCAGGAATGAGAAAATATATGACGGTATAAAAAAAGTATATAATGTGCGACGAACAGTAGCCGTAGTGATGAAACAGCGGTATCTATAGGTTAACCACATGTGCATGTTGTACATGTTTGTTTGAAACATCGAACCATATGAGTTAACTCGTCGATATAACTTCCACGTATCCTACGGTTCTCTCAAATCACTTCATCACACCAAAAATAAGAAAGGACGAATTTGCAACAACATAAACCGTTCAGTTGATGTATGAAATTTTATCTCAGTTTTACTAAGGCCATGGCAGCTCCTAGGCCCAAAACAGATATTCCAACGAACGGCAATTTGTCAATGACTTTGTCTTTCACTGTTTTCTGGTGTGACAAGGAATTAATATTAAGCCCGTGTGCGCCGTTGGATTTATTGTTCTTGTTGTTTCCACTTGCGCAACAATCCCCAAATGTCTCTGTGGGATCAAGACCGTCCCCACTTTGTCGTCTTCTCCGTGGTACTGATTGCGGTATGTTGTCTACATTACCCACTCTGTCATAAGACATCGAACATTCAGAGGGCAGTTTGACGTTGTCTGGTCCTTGCCGTATTGGCGGCAAAACAACCTCGTTTGATTGTCCAGTCTGTTTATCATGGCCATTGGTCAAAGTGTTTGACTGACTTGTAGTTATGCAGCAGTCACGTTTTCTATTAGTTCGCAACATGCATTCTTTCGCATGAATGACTGTATCCTTTTTGTTGAACATACTTTCTGTAGACAAGAGCGCAACAGGTCCGTGGAAATCACACTCGAGCCTTGCCTTCATCTGGGCCAAGCTGTAGCCAGTCACTTTTTGTACTCGTTCCAAAAGGTCAAACCTTTCGAGTTCATGTAAAGCGATAAGAAGATTGTGGAGAGTAGCGTCCTCCCGTTGACTCCAGTCCTCCAGCAGTTTCTTTGTGCATGATGTTTCGTTGCCATTACATTTCAAGCGGGTTACCTCCTCAATAGTATAATCTGTAACACAAAACGTGCAGATTACATGGTTATTTCATCAAACAGAAACAAATAATTTGAAGAAATGAAATATGAGTTTCTATAAGCGTTTGAAGGTATTTATTCAATTTGAAGGTTACATCAATGAAACGAATATAAAGATGTCTGTGGCGTAAAGTAAATATCATGAGCCAAATCTTACTAAATTTTGCAGCCATGGCCTCCCAGTTATTGTCAACATCCTGGCTGTCCATTATTTTCAATATGGACGACACATGGGCCGGTAGGTCCTTATATCTAGTTTCGCCGCTGTAGACCTTAAGCCGGGCAGCCGACAACTTTCGGTGAGGACTGTCGGGGGGTAACTTCCTGTGATTACTAACTGCCGAAAACTTCGACTGAATATCTGTGACTGGCGGTCTGATGACTTCGTCCATTTCTGGATTTTGTGAAAGCGAATGGTTAATTGGTAAGTAGAACACGAGTACGAGTAACATAAAATACTTCAAACACACAGCAAGATTAATGACGGCCACCAAGATCAAACATATGGACTCGGGTTTGATTTGGTTTCATGTTGTATAACGTCCTGTCAACAGTTAAAAACCCATTACGTGATATGGATCTTACTCAATTACATTTACATTGTATATATTTCTCCCATTAGATGTATGCGTGTCTTGATCATTTTAAATCACAAGACAATAATCTGACGTCATTTTGGAGTCGTGTTGGTCTTGGTGACGTCAATGATTTGTGCATCGCCTCAAATAACACACATTATGGCTTTGCTTAAATCACTTATAATGATTTACAGCGAGCTGTTCCAGTTAAAAAACAAATAGGGGAAAAATCAGGGAAACATTCAAAGGCAATATCTGAAAATTAGATATAATTACTGAACAGTTATCAGGTTATGTTTATTGTCAATGTGGACACAGATCAAGTGACAAATACAACATGCGTGACAAATACAACATGAGTGACAGATACTGATTCCATGCTATTTATCACAAAAATTACATTCGTATCGACGCTAAATACAATCTGACGCCCTATCTCAGTGGCAAACTGACAACAACCTACCTTGCAGTGTGTCCGCAAGGTAGTGTTGGTTGGTTTGGCGTAGTGCGTCCAAGAGCTGTGGCCACCAATTATCCATTCGTATCAAATGATCATACATTTTCATAGCGGCCTGACTCTTGTTGTATTGTCGCTGTCTGTTTTCTATTTCTTCCTGTAAAACCACATCATATGTCTCACCTTAATGTTTATCTCATCTCACTAGAATATCTTACATGTATATACAAATTTGATTGGTCAAACTGAATGATTGTTCATTATTTTATAAAACATGACCGTCCGCGAGGACCAATATGATCGTACACGGCGACTAATGAGATCATACAAGTGATATGATTGCACGAGGCGACTAATGAGATCATACAAGTGATATGATTGCACGAGGCGACAAATGAGATCATACACGTGATCTGATCGCACGAGGCGACTAATGAGATCATACACGTGATCTGATCGCACGAGGCGACTAATGAGATCACAAGAGGCGATTGATTTTATGAACTGATGTGAGTGATGCGATCAAACTAATATGATCGGTAAATAGAGATTACATAGTCGGTGTCTCAGTCACTGTCGAACAACATATTTGTGACAGGTCCATTCCGACGGTGACAGCACCAGTTGCAGGATAAATGTGAGTCTGAGGTGAGTAATCGGATTGTGTAAAGTGCCTAATGCGATTTGAAAAGTGACTAGAAAATACAAAATAAATAATATGAACGCGAAAGTGACTAATGTGACCGTAAAAGACTACTAATGCAATCGTACAAGGCGACCACTATGATCTTGCAAGCTTACTTATGTAATCGCACAAGGCGACTATCATGATCTTGCGAGCTTACTTATGTAATCGTGCAAAGCGACCAATATGGTTTTGCGAGCTTAATAATGTAATCGTACATGGATGTCTCGTGTGAAACGACGGGTGAAATTTGTAACAAAACGTGTGAGGTGATCTTACCTTACTTGACTGAGTCAGACAATTAAGATAAGGCAAGAGTTCGATGGGGTCAACTTTCTTGGTAAACTCTGGTAGGTTTTTTTCAAACATTCGGATCCTCGTGTTGTCTAAAAACGCCATCTTTAAGAAAGGAAATAAATGGTAAGTTTATAACAGTATGTAATGTAATCTGTCACACATATTTGCCAAATATAAGCATTAACAAAATATATGTTCACTACACAATATCAGTAAAATACTTATCAAAATTCCTCAATGGTTGTAGAAATGAAATTCGTTTACCACCCGGAAAGCAGAATTAGACGGTTGGAATGACCAAAAATTGGTACACGATGCAATATAGAAATGGCCACGTTTAAAGAGATCTATTGCTGTAGCATATATAATGGGAACAAATGTGATTATTCGAAAATAAGTCATCTTCTTAATATTTCCCAGACTTAACAGTTGGTGAGAGTTACGCGAAATAAACAAAATCTGAATATGTAACAATATATAAGATATACGTATAACTTCAATGATACAATAAAATAACAGTATTTCATAGGAGTTATCTCCCTTCCTTCCGCTTAACTACAAAACAAGTTTACGATCAAGTAATAAATAAGATCTGGATAAAGAAATGTCCAGATATATAGATAAATGAATAAAAAGATAAATGAATAAATGAAAAAAAAAGATAAATAAATAAATAGATAAATAAATAAATCCATGTGACGATAAAGCGAATATAATAATTATCGCCCGAACATTAACATTTGTCGTAAGCTTGACGATATCGATCATCACTCATAACATTTACCAAAAAATGACAGCCTTGTGGTAATATAAGAACATAGAACATGAAGGTTATACAAATTTTACTTGGCTGCATGAAAACTATCTCAATCTATATGGTTAAAAGAGGTCGGGAGATAAAATTGAAATGAGGTACATTAAGGTAGGTTGACAACGGGTTTTGAGATAATGTAAAGAGTTGTGATGGGGGAAAAGAGGGTGGAAAGTGGGGTGGATAGGTAATGCAAAGAGTTGTGATGGGGGAAAAGAGGGTGGAAAGTGGGGTGGATAGGTAATGTAAAGAGCTGTGATGGGAAGATAATTATGGAAAGTGGGGTGGGTAGGTAATGTAAAGGGCTGTGGTGAGAAGGTAATGGTGGGAAATGGGGTGGGTTGGTAATATAAAGAGCTGTGGAGGTGAGGGGAGGTTGGAAAGTGGGGTGGTGAGGTAATGTATGGAGCTGAGTTGGGGAAATGAGGATGGAAAGTGGGGTGGGTAGGTTATGTAAAGGGCTGTGATGGGAAGATAATCGTTGAAAGTGGGGTGGGTAGGTAATGCAAAGAGCTGTGGAGGTGAGGGGAGGTTGGAAAGTGGGGTGGGGAGATGAAAGTGAAAATATTGGTGGTGAGGTAATTTAAGTAGCTGTGGTGGGGAAATGAGGATGGAAAATGGGATGGGGAGGTAATGTATGGAGCTGAGATGGAAAAATGATGGTTGGAAAGTGGGGTGGGGAGGTAATGTATGGAGCTGAGATGGAGAAATGCTGGTTGGAAAGTGGGGTGGGGAGGTAATGTATGGAGCTGAGATGGAAAAATGAGGGTTGAAAGTGGGGTGGTAATGTATGGAGCTTAGGTTGGGAAATGAGGGTGGAAAGTGGGGTGGTAAGGTATTGTATGGAGCAGCTGAGGTAGGGGAATGAGGGTGGAAAATGGGGTGGTAAGGTAATGTATGATGCAGCTGAGGTGGGAAAATGAGGGTGGAAAGTTGGGTTGGGAGGTAATGTATGGGGCTGAGATTGAGAAATGAGGGTGGAAAGTAGGGTAGAGAAGATAATGTATGGAGCTGAGATCGGGAAATGAGGGTGGAAAGTGGGGTGGTAAGGTAATGTATGGAGCTGAGGTGGGGAAACGAGGGTGGAAAATGGGGTGGTAAGGTAATGTATAATGCAGCTGAGGAGGGGAAATGAGGGTGGAAAGTTTGGTTGGGAGGTAATGTATGGGGCTGCGATTGAGAAATGAGGGTGGAAAATGGGATGGGTAGGTAATATATGATGCAGCTGAGGTAGGGAAATGAGGGTGGAAAGTTTGGTTGGGAGGTAATGTATGGGGCTGAGATTGAGAAATGAGGGTGGAAAGTAGGGTAGAGAAGATAATGTATGGAGCTGAGATCGGGAAATGAGGGTGGAAAGTGGGGTGGTAAGGTAATGTATGGAGCTGAGGTGGGGAAATGAGGGTGGAAAATGGGGTGGTAAGGTAATGTATAATGCAGCTGAGGAGGGGAAATGAGGGTGGAAAGTTTGGTTGGGAGGTAATGTATGGGGCTGCGATTGAGAAATGAGGGTGGAAAATGGGATGGGTAGGTAATATATGATGCAGCTGAGGTGGGGAAATGAGGGTGGAAAGTTTGGTTGGGAGGTAATGTATGGGGCTGCGATTGAGAAATGAGGGTGGAAAGTGGGATGGGTAGGTAATGTATGATGCAGCTGAGGTGGGGAAATGAGGGTGGGAAGTTGGGTTGGGAAGTAATGTATGGAGCTGAGAAGGAGAAATAAGGGTGGAAAATGGGATGGGTAGGTAATGTATGGAGCAGCTGAGGTGGGGAAATGAGGGTGGAAAGTGGGGTAGAGAAGGTAATGTATGGAGCTGAGATCGGGAAATGAGGGTGGAAAGTTGGGTTGGGAGGTCATGTATGGGGCTGAGGTGGGGAAATGAGGGTGGAAAGTGGGGTGGTGAGGTAATGTATGGAGCTGAGGTGGGGAAATGAGGGTGGAAAATGGGGTGGGTAGGTAATGTAAAGGGCTGTGGTGGGAAAGTAATGGTGGAAAATGGGGTGGGTTGGTAATGTAAAGAGCTGTGGAGGTGAGGGGAGGTTGGAAAGTGGGGTGGTGAGGTAATGTATGGAGCTGAGTTGGGGAAATGAGGATGGAAAGTGGGGTGGGTAGGTTATGTAAAGAGCTGTGATGGGAAGATAATGGTTGAAAGTTGGGTGGGTATGCAATGTAAAGAGCTGTGGAGGTGAGGGGATGTTGGAAAGTAGGGTGGGGAGATGAGAGTGAAAATATTAGTGGTGAGGTAATTTAAGTAGCTGTGGTGGGGAAATGAGGATGGAAAGTGGGATGGGGAAGTAATGTATGGAGCAGCTGAGGTGGGGAGATGAGGGTGGAAAGTCGGGTGGGTTGGTAATATAAAGAGCTGTGGAGGTGAGGGGAGGTTTGAAAGTGGGGTGGGGAGGTAATGTATGGAGCTGAGATCGGGAAATGAGGGTGGAAAGTGGGGTGGTGAGGTAATGTATGGGGCTGAGGTGGGGAAATGAGGCTGGAAAGTTTGGTTGGGAGGTAATGTATGGGGCTGCGATTGAGAAATGAGGGTGGAAAGTGGGATGGGTAGGTAACGTATGATGCAGCTGAGGTGGGGAAATGAGGGTTGAAAGTTTGGTTGGGAGGTAATGTATGGAGCTGAGATGGAGAAATAAGGGTGGAAAGTGGGATGGGTAGGTAATGTATGGAGCAGCTGAGGTGGGAAAATGAGGCTGAAAAGTGGAGTGGTAAGGTAATGTATGGAGCAGCTGAGGTGGGGAGATGAGGGTGGAAAACGGGGTGGGGAGGTAATGTATGGAGCTGGGGTTGGGAAATGAGGGTGGAAAGTGGGATGGGGAGGTAATGTGAGGACCTGAGGTGGGGAGATGATGGTGGAAAACGGAGTGGGGAGGTAATTATGGAGCTGGGGTTGGGAAATGAGGGTGGAAAGTGGGGTGGTGAGGTAATGTATGGAGCTGAGGTGGGGAAATGAGGGTGGAAAGATACGTGTAGGGGCACAAGTTAGAAGGTGGGGATGGAAAGTGGTAGTGAGGAGGTTATGTAAGGATCTCAGGTGGGGAAATGACGGTGGGGAATAGAGTATGGGGGATCATGTAGAGATGAGTAATGAGGATTGAAAGTGGGATGAGGAGGTAATGCTAGGAGCTGTGGCTATGAGATGAGGATGGGAAAAGGGCTGGGGAGGCAATGTAAGGAGCTGAGGTGGGGAGTAGGAGTAGGGAGGTACATGTAGGGACAGAGGTGGGAATGTTAGGGTGGAAAGTGGTGGTAAGGAGGTAATTTCATGAGCCGAGAATGGGAAATGAGGATGGGCAGTGGGATGGAGAGGTAAAAGTAGGGAGGTACATGTAGGGAGTCGATGTAAGAAGATGAGGCGAAAAGGTAATAGAGAAAGGAAGGAAGGTAGAGGCTTTAATTTGACGTTAGGGTATGAGGTTCTACCCCTCATTTCCATCTGTATATTACTAAACAGATGAAGATGAGGGGTAGAACCTCAGACCCTAACGTCAAATTAATGTTTATTATCCTGCTGGTATAAGGACGCTGAATTCACATGCAAAAACGATATAACAACAAATGTGTGCGAATAAATCATAATCATGGCAATGGTTTTTGGAAAAATGTCAAATCATATAGGTAGAAATGTATAGCCCTAGCTAGGTATATACTGGAGTACATCGATATAAATATGTACACATACATACCTTCTCACTTGATAACCAAGTGCAGCTAGTTTCCGATCTGTACTGACTGTTCGTTTACATGCTGTAATCAATTCACTTACCTATGTGTATGTGTTTTGTGATAAGATACCACGGACAACACAAAAAGGGGATTCCCCTAAAAATGACTGAAAACTGGAGATTTCCTTGGCTATTTATAAATTACATTCATTAGATAGTTACACGTAATCTTTACCAGTCCTATTTTATATGTTATGAGATCAGAGACATATATAACACATATATACGTCTCTGATGAGATTTACACTACATGTGGTTAAACTTTTTGTGATGATACATATCTTAACCAACCCCCCCCCCCCCCCCCCGGGTCAGAAACATTTTAATTTTGTCTACAGCATCAAGACTTTCGTGAACCGATTAAACTAAAGAGGTATGTTCCGTCAGCTGAGTGACAGAAACTGTATACATTTAAGACCTAAGTACTGGCCACACCGACCCGCTTGTGTTGTGGGCCAAGCGAACCGTTGTACGATAACGTGAGTCATACCCCAAAAACGAAAGTAAACATGATGACGAGTCACGTGTATCATGTCAACAAATATCCATACATCAGAATAAAAAATGAGGGGAAGTAGATCTACAATTGAAGATTCTGGAAATTCAGATCACTGTTAAATAAAGACAATTTTACAACGAACATCAAATAGTTATAAGGTACCGCTTTACGTAGTCTGTATATTGTGAGAAGAAAACCTACTTACGACAACTTTTCCCACAAGAAGAACCTGCTACATTATTATCTATATACTACAGCCCGACCGAGAGTGACATGTCATGATAGTTTCGTTCATCATTAGATCGATTACAGACGAGTAGGTATTGATATGGAGAGCACATGTAGACAAACCTCATCACAACATGCCATACCATAGAATGAATTAAATAATCCGATTTCAATAGAGGTAAAATTCAATCCGACCTGTAAGTATGGTTGAAACTGGTGAATGGTTAGACACACACGGATGTGCTTGTATCCAGCTCCCACAGATTTGTGATTTAAATTTAATAGTATAATTCGGAATTTTACAAAACCAATTGTTTGATTTTTTCATTCGAATTTCATTTTTCTATTACTTGAAATAAAATCAAACCCGAAAAAATCTCACTCCGAACCATCGACAGCTGAGTCAGTACCTTGCTAATTACACGTAGCTTATCTAATTAGTGTCGTGTTGAAAGAGGGGTCCCCTTGACTTTGTCTGCAGCAAAAATGGAATACAGTGTAAATGATAAAGATATGTGATGTGTAAATTATTTTTTGTACGGTGTAAATGAAGAAAGACATTTATCTTGATCACGTGGCAATTTAGTGCACGATTTTTTATTAATATCTCACCAGTACAGTTCGCCGATCTCTCATGGCCTGACATTTCGATAAAACAATGAAATTGAATTAATGATGCTTTATATACATCGTGATACCTGAATACGTCTTTGTTCGCGGAATTAATTAACACGCTATAGCATAAATATATTATATCTTTATAGTAGTCCTTAACTCGTATACTTAGCAATGCCAGTAATTACACCTGTGCGGATCTTACCTGTACATCACACAGGTAAGTCCCTAGAGGCTGGAGCCGTGACAGAAAAACAACATGGAGGATGGAGGACAGGAGTCTGAAACCAGACCTAGACGAAGGGACAGCTACCTAGACAGGTCAGAGGTCAACAACTGTGTCAAGTATATTCTCTTCTTCACAAACTTAATTCTTTTTGTAAGTATACATTATTCTAAGCCAGTAAACTTTCTCTCTATTACCAATCAAATGAACACTGGTTTGCCTGGGCATGTGCCAATCAGTTTCCCCTTGTTTCCATATATAACATTGTCGTCGTTCCGGAACTCACGCAGTGAATGTGACAACATATATGTAAAAAGGAAATGCTAATATCGCAGTAAACACATGCACGGTTTAAAAGTCTACTGGTCACGTACATTGTCCGGTACTAATTCCACGTGTTGTAGACTTTGTGTGGGTGAGTAGCAGTATACGCGATGTGTTGTATAGCTTTCATAGTAGAAATAACGTTGTAGTGTTAAATAGTATCATTTATGAAAATGATTAAAATCTGCGCTCAAAAAGGTGAAAAAATCTAGAATTCTCAAATATATTCTTGACGTTTAGACGTATCCGTCGATTATCTATAGATACACGTTTAGCTGGCTGATCAGAATGATATCGCCGTTAAAACATACCATGGACGTTAATCATCTAAGTAAGGACAGATGTTATTGGACAACCTTCATAAATAACGGCCGTGTCATATTATTGTTACTGTCCATATGACATGGTAAACGTGATTACACGTGATACGCTATGGTAAGGACAATAGATTTATTGTAAGTGTGTCTCTGATGTGTTACTATGTAATTACCAATATCAACGTACATGTATATGTTCTTATGCATTAAGGCATAGAAGACACATGTTAACGTAACAGTCTATAAAGATTTCATATAAAATCCAATTCCATTTTAGTGTTACTGGCCTTTACCTCCTGACTTTCCGAATTGTGTAAGATGTTAGTTGACGAGACTAACGGCTTAAGTTTAGAAATATGCTAACTGTGAGTTCAAATATGTAGCAAATTTCAGCTCAATATTCGCACCCAATTCTGAATAAATGACCGGAAACTACTAATTTCCTGAAAAATTCTGTGAAATATAAGTTGACGGTTTCGAACTTATGCAACAACACACTGGATTTTAATTCAATATCCCTCTCAGAGGATAAATGACGATCGAGGGCAATACTGTAATAGCTGGACATAAAATCTGTAGGAATAACTTCCTTCCCATCCAATCTAGCAAGCCTCGGAAGTTCGGAATGGTGTCTTCTCACTTAGCCAACATTTTGATTTTTGGGGTATACAGGTAAGGTATTTTGGGGTCTTCCCCGAACACCAACTCTGTATATGGCAACATGTTTACATAGGAGGTCAACTGTGATGATAGTGGATCATAGGCTGTTTTAGAATTGTAGTACAGGTAACTTGCACTGGTAAATTCTGATAACTGTTCAGAAAACAGGTAAATCAGATGATTAAGTTCTGATTCTGATAACTGTTCAGAAAACTGAAAACTGTTAATAACTGTAAAATAAAGGAATCAAATATCTGTGTTAAATCTGTTTAAATCCCAGGCTATTCAATGGGAAATGTATAAAAGCCAAGTTCATTTTGGGAAATTATCATATTTCAATCTGCACTTTGAAAGATCAATATCTCAATCATTGCTTGATTTATTACTGTACTTTTGTCACAGATATATATTGTCAAATCATAACTTTTGTCATATATATATTAGTTAATCTTGTATTTTCTCTCAGTTTTTGTGTAAATTGTAATTTCTGTCAAACATTAGTTAATCTAGTATTTTCTCTCAGTTTTTGTGTAAATTGTAACTTTTGTCAAATATTAGTTAATCTTGTATTTTCTCTCAGTTTTTGTGTAAATTAGTTAATCTTGTATTTTCTCTCAGTTTTTATGTAAATTGTGTTTAATTTGAGTGATATTATTATCTTTGTTGTTTGATACAAGGACAGTATGGCTAATGCTCAGATCAACGTTAAGTTCATCACCAACAGAAGAGGCGGACAGAACCTTTCACATAATGGATTCATCTTCAGACAGATTCGAAAGAACGGCAGCAGGACATTCTGGAGATGTTCGACCTCAGGCTGCTCAGCATCACTCTCGACAATCGACAACATACCAGCTAATTTCGGAAGAAATCCACACACCCACGCCTCAGACCCAGCCAGTGTTGTAGCCAAACAGATCATGAACCAGATCACCAACAAATGCGTATAATCGGTCCAGCCTATTCCGTCCATCTTTGAGGAAGAGCTCAATCAACTCGACTGGGATGACACTTCCAAGGCCGTGGTCCAGCGACTACCAACATTCTACACAGCGAAATCGTCTCTTTACCGTGCTCACCGCAAGCAGACTCCTCCACTACCAAAGACTTTGGCCGACATCACCTTGGATGGAAGATGGACAGAAGCATCTAAAGGCGAACCATTTCTCCTCTTTGACGACGGTGAACAGAACAACAGGATGATCGCATTCGCTTCGTCGGAGAACCTGGCCGAACTTGCAGCATCTGACACCTTCTTCTGTGACGGAACTTTCTACAACTGTCCAACAATGTTTCATCAGATTTACAGCGTCCATGTACAGAATGAAGGCACCATGACACCAGTCGTATACGCATTACTTCCCAGAAAGAGCCATGCAATCTACAGCCGTTTCTTCATCCTTCTCCAGGATCACATGGCACACTTCGACATTCCATTCCGACCCACTACAGCCTTCGTCGATTTTGAGGTAGCTGCACACAATGGATAGAGGGAGATCGTACCACCTGGAACCACTTCTCAACCGAGGGACCCCGGACTACCAACCATCTGGAAGCTTGGCACGGAAAACTGAAGAAGGTACTGCATGCCCACCCCAACATCTACACCATCATCCAGACGTTTAAGGACATACAGAACATGAACGACATCAGCCGGATTCAGAGAGACGCAGGAGGCACCATTCAACCCCGGAAGAAGAAATACGCCAACATTGACAGACGCCTGGCCACCTTGAAAGACCGTTACCAGACTGGGACAATCGACCTGATGACCTATGCCGATTCAGCATCCGAGCTTCTGCATCTTGGATAGAGTGTTTTGTGTTTTCTGGACTTATGGATTACTTGATTATCACAGGTTGTAAAAGGACATAATATCTAGATAAATGGATAATGTATTGTCATACATAGTGCTAATTCAGCTTCATTTAGGGGTTTACTATTTATATTAGATAAAAATTTATTTAATGCTAAGATGTGGATAATGTTTCAACATTATATATATGTAATACAAATACAATTTAATAACAGACATCAGTGTATCATTGTGACATACTAAATTTTATTTATCAATTAAATATAATCTTATATGATAATCATTAAAATAATAAATAACAATTTTAAATACTAATAATTAATAACTATTTTGTAATACTTCATAAACTACAAAAATGTGTTACATTTATATATGTGAAACAAAAAACAAAAAAAAAAACCTATTTCCTTATTGATATGTACGTATCCTATTTACAAGGACAAGTTGACATTCTTAGTTGAAACAGGCTATAACTTTAACATCAAAGGATTCCCTTTATAAACACCCTCCTTTCAAGTTGGCAGAGTTGGTGTTCGGGGAATGAGCCGGTATTTTGCTGGCCAGGTGAGAGTAGGTGTGAAAGGTAGAACAATAGGAGATAATTACAGGTAAGGCTATAGACTGTTTCATCAAACTTCTTACTATTTAAGAATTACATGTATATTTATTTCACATTAATTGCATTTACAGTATTAACTTACTTATATACCCTATATATAAGAAACATATCTACTATTTTTCAATTATGGAATCATAGAAAAACACAAGAATATCAGAATGAACACATATAGCTACTATTTTTCAACTATTTCAATTATTTATGTATATAGACATATATAGACACATAAAGTAGCTTGATTTCAAACGTCCTTTTGAATATATCATGAATTAGAATCACCTATTAGTAATTCAATGGTAAAAGCTTATAAAAGGTGTTCCCATACAAAAGGAAATGAATTTATTCAATTCGGTACAACAATGTTTTTTTTTCACAGCAGAATTTTTCATAACTGATATTTCTTTTTTGATGAAACACATGCAGTTTATTTCACTATTTTACTGTTAATGCAGTCGATGGGAAGCAGCATTAGCATAACCAAGCACATCAATTTGTCCATTTCTGTATTGGTTCTTTAGTTGACTAAGACGAGAGTCTATGTGGCGGTATTTCCTCTTCTTTGGTCTTGGTTTACCTCCGGTCGAAAGTTGGATCATCTTTGCTTCATCGATAGTCTGAATTTTCTTCAGAAGCTGAACAACCGCAAAGATGTTCGGGTGGGCATGCTGACAGAGCTTGTTGACTTTGCTGTGCCACCCCCCAACATGATTTGTTGTCCGTGGGCCATCGTTGTCATAGTGGTTCCACGAAGCTAGTGGCCGGGCACGGTCTCTGTACACATCTCCAATAAACTCTGTCATTGCGTCTGGTCCTGACGGAAAACTTGTAGCCTGCATGAAGAAGACAGTATCCACCCTTTCCATTTTCTATGAAGTTGATGTTAACCTGTGCATTAGCCATCATTCAATATGAACGATTTGAAAATATGAAAATTAGCGCAAGACCTTTGATATGTTTTATTTGAATTTCAACCCACCCAAGCCAAGAAGAAATGGTAAAACCCATCCAAGCTTTGATGTCTTCTGTCATCACATCCATGTTTTAATTAATATAAGGTACAACAACCCTGGTATATTAGGTAAACATTTAGGTACACAATTACCATTATTTCACGAACGGACTATCAAATGATAAAACAACATTTAAGCAATCAATGTTAACAGCATCTAATTGTATGTAACAATTTTATCAATTATGTAAGTGATTAACAGAAGACACAACAACATCTAATAGGATATTATATATTTTAGAATTACTGGTAGCACGGAATAGATTTTTTTGCGTTTTCAGTTCTTAATCTGTCATTTTGAAAAAAAAAAGTATTGATTAAAACACTTGTAAATACATTTCTTATTGATATCACAATTTAAACTCTTGAGATAAAGATTTTAGAATATATTACATAATGCATGTAGATTTTAGTACGTGTATATTAAGTAATTGCCGCAAACATTTAAGACTTAAATACGATTTCCTACATAAATTGATTTAAATCTTTATTTTATAAATCATAATCAACTAGTCCTTTTTTATATTTTCTGTCAAGGAAAGTAGGAACAGACTATAGCTGAAAATCACTCAGGTGTAATTTGACATGTTGGCCATGTAGTACAGGTAAATTTCAGAATGTTGGCTAAGTGAGAATGAACCTTCGGAACATATTTCATGATGCCCTGTAGCTTATCGTCTCCTTCTCTTCCCAGTCACCATTCGCGCGTAATTCTTGGCTTCTGTCGGTTGTCAAGCTGAAACGAAGGGTAAGTTATCCTATAAGACCTCGTCGACCAAGCCCTACCTTCCACCAAGGGGACTCTCAACAAAGTATGGTCCCCTATTCTCTCTCTGTAAACCTCACTTATAGAAACATTTGTACAGTGACAGCATTGGTGTCATCCGGTTGTTACCATGAACAAAGGCAAATCATCCACAGGTTCCGAGGTCAAAAGGTCAATTGTAATGTAAATAAAAGGACAAATACATGGTTTCGTTCGGATGAAACCAATAAATTTATATATTTCCTATTTTGGTTTCTGAGAAACACCGTCAACAGACAAACTAGCCAGATTTTCTGATCTAATAGACACTTGGCGGAATGGAGAGAGGTCAACAACAGGTATAAATCCGCCAACAGATGTTATGTCCGGTAATGGGGACACAGAAAGACCACGACTATCGTAAAACAAATTATTTACAAAATAACCATTGGCCAACAAGTTAGATGACTGGTGATTGTTACAAAGAAAAGTAAAGTGACAGTGAAATAAAGGATTAACAAAATATGGATCAAGATGAGAAAAATTCCCAGTAGGAGAAACTGTCCATGAACCAGCGTCCTACCAATACCGATACCGTAATACATAAAACTCCGGCACAAAATGACGTAAGTTGGACGGGGACTTTTAGATCTGCCTAGCTGTGGTTGTGTTTTGTATTACGTGTATACAAAAATGTAGACCGTACAGGTAAACCACGAATGATAATCTTACGGGATATACCTGTTCATTACAAATAGCTGCAGCTCTGGTTTTTCTCAATTTCCGATGCCATAAACATATTTGATTTACAGATTCTGGATCATAGGTACATGTCCGGTTGTAAAATAGATATTGTAATTCATATTCTCCAATTTATATATAGACATTCTGTAACAACTTACCTGTGGAATTGTATATGCTAAACAAAAGCTACATTATCAATATCAGATACTTTTTTTGTGCACGAAAATTACGTAACACTGCTAAAACGATAGTTATATGTAAATCCAAATAAAGGTATATATAATGTAAAACTTACGTAATACATTGTTTATTTGGAACAAAAATGTTCCCTCTTAACCACGCCCACGCTAGTGTAAAAAACCAACATCAAAATACCAAACATATGGATATAATCATACTCCAACCTTAAAGTCTAAAAACAATGACAAATTATGGACAAAAGAAAAATTTAAACGGAGCTTCCTGAATAAAACCAAATGTTCCGGAAGAGTAAGCGTCTTCTGCTTCACCGACAGCACTCGCCATACAATATTTGTCGATCCATGTAGATAATGTTACGTTATCAAATGAGAACAAGATATAAACCAAACTAGCGGGCATCAGAGAATTCATTGTAAAAATACATCTTCCAGTGGTCGTGTCTCGATTTTTTGGAAATGAGTCGGATTTCCTTTAACTGCTATACTATTTCTCAATGGAAAATCTTTAGCTAAGTACTATTAATCTTAGGTAACCCTTGGAAACCGTAACAAAACATTAATCAAGAATGGCTAATCAATTTTCTTGTTTCTAACCAATCTATCCCAAGGTTTCGGGGCAAACGAATATTTACAAACTCGCGATCAGCATTGGACAGCTGGCTGATGACATTTTCTGCATAACAGGAAGTGAACTAGTATTCTAACTTACAGAATATCCTTTCAAGCATTACGGGAATAACATGGGATGCCAGGACCATAAAGGTTATCTCACTATATACACTTATATAGAATATAAGAGTATTAGTACGTACAGTTATTAAATCATTTCATCTTACAACTGGCACTGCCATTGTCGGAATACGCCTTCCGTATAGTTTTGCTGTATTCGACAGTGACATTGACACTGATCATGTATTCTCTATAAAGCAGCTCTGAATTCTGGAAGAGTAAAGAAAAGTCATCGTTTCAATTTCTCCACATTTCAACAATTGCTCCAGTGAAACTAGAGAAGTTTAATGTGTGTTTTATTTCAAGATGGCGACCATACTGGATACAAAACTGGGTTTATTTATTCATTTATTTATTTAACAGTTTGTATGTCAACTATTACAGAATTTCGGCCTTTCAGCGGCCAAGGGCATGGTGACCCAGAAACGTACATCTATATATAGGTAACTGTGTAGTCGGCATGGTGACCTAGAAACGTACATCTATATATAGGTAACTGTGTAGTCGGCATGGTAACCAAGAAACGTACACCTATATATAGGTAACTGTGTAGTCGACATGGTAACCAAGAAACCTACACCTATATATAGGTAACTGTGTAGTCGGCATGGTAACCAAGAAACGTACATCTATATATAGGTAACTGTGTAGTCGGCATGGTGACCTAGAAACGTACATCTATATATAGGTAACTGTGTAGTCGGCATGGTGACCTAGAAACGTACATCTATATATAGGTAACTGTGTAGTCGGCATGGTGACCTAGAAACGTACATCTATATATAGGTAACTGTGTAGTCGACATGGTGACCCAGAAACGTACATCTATATATAGGTAACTGTGTAGTCGACATGGTGACCTAGAAACGTACACCTATATATAGGTAACTGTGTAGTCGGCATGGTGACCTAGAAACGTACACCTATATATAGGTAACTGTGTAGTCGGCATGGTAACCAAGAAACGTACATCTATATATAGGTAACTGTGTAGTCGGCATGGTGACCTAGAAACGTACACCTATATATAGGTAACTGTGTAGTCGACATGGTAACCAAGAAACGTACACCTATATATAGGTAACTGTGTAGTCGGCATGGTAACCAAGAAACGTACATCTATATATAGGTAACTGTGTAGTTGACGTGGTTAATCAAATTTTATGCATGCCTAATCTTTGTTTCAGTTGACAGCCGGTGTATCTCTGGGAATCGGGATATGGATACAGATACTGAAGGGCAAGGTTGTCGTACATTTAGTGGACTTCTTGTTTGATCCTTCCATTATGGTCATGTGTGTGGGAGGTGCCGTCACGTGCTTGGTCTCCTTTTTTGGCTGCTTTGGCTCACTCAGGGAAAATGTCATCCTTCTCACCATAGTAAGACAGTTGAATTGGTATTCACTCTATGTTAATAACACGTTTTTCCTCATGTATATAGTTTTATTTTGCTTTGGCAAGTACAGAAAAAAATTATTCTTCTGGATTCATATCATATTATAATGCATTTCAAAAATATATTAATAGCAAGTCAATTTTATTCCACAAGTTATGTAGTTCTATAACATATCATGTAACAATTTTCTTGTTTAATTTCGTTCAAAATAGTGAGATCGTGGACTTATACCAAAGTCCGTGGCGAGATTACACATTGCAGTAGGCCGGTCACTAGGACACGTTAAGTAAATACTCGTTAACAACTCTAGGGAACGAAACAAACATATTCAAACTATAATCATTTTCAGTATCAAATGGTCTAGATAGACTTCGATATTACACCATATAAACCACACACATTTAGATCAATTGTAAATACAGTCGTCATCAAGGGTCAAGTGCTGGTGACCACTCGAGTGTAGTCTTACGCGCGCCTAACTTATATTTTCATTAGAAACTGAGCGTGAATGGTACAACTTGTGATATAAAGGAAGGAAATGAGATATAAAACGGAAACATCACACTCCGATCTTCTATTGGTTGTGGTATAAGGACTTTTCTTCTGTTTTGTTATGTTTTAACAGCTACATGTACCCATGTATCCAATGTTTCAGTATCATACCCTTGTCAGCTTACTGTTGTTGGTGGAAGTAGCTCTTGTGGTCTTCGTCTTCGTCTTCTATTTCTCACCGGAAACACTCGACAAACTCAATATCGTACCGGAAGACACATTACGGGATGCTATAGTAAAATACCGAGATGATCCGGATATGCAAGATCTCATTGACGGAATACAAGAACTGGTAGTGTGACCAATTTTATGTAATGATTATACTCGTAAATCGGAAAAAACACAACAATGTTACTTTAACACTCCAACAGAAGTGTATAGCTGTCTTAGCCTGTTCATCGTAACTGTAATTTCAATGTATTTCATTCGGAACTTTAGCTTGTTTACACGTGTTCATTTGAAACTCGGTAATTGTAACCAAAAGGTTCCGAGTTCGAAATACAGTCTAAATGAAAGTGTTGTACAATACAAATAATGCAAATCCTGTGTAGATCGTTTACCGTTGTAAAGTATCAAAGGTGAAATCACGGATTTGAATATCTCTTCAGTCCATGCTAAAATACATGTATATGTTCTTGATTACATGGAAAACCTATCCAAATCCTATCAGTTAACATGTGATTTACAGATGGACTGCTGTGGTGTGAGTAATACACCAACCGGGTACCAGGATTGGAATGAGAATATTTACTTTAACTGTTCCGTCGTTAATCCTAGCCACGAGAGGTGTTCAGTGCCGTTTTCATGCTGTATCTTAAACCCAGTATGTATGGAATGCAGTGGTGACGTATAAAGGATTGTCAGTTAACTTGCAGGACAAATATAAAGTTTACATATTTAAAATGTATGTATTGATAAATTATGGTGTAAAATATCGATGCAAAACTGGCATCCAAACATATACAATGTAACATACATTCATTTCTTTGGGTCCTACTAAAGGTACCTAGTTACTATAATTCTATGTAAAAACACTTATATACAGTACAGACTATGTTTGATACAAAATGCAAATCTGGGACAATATCAGTGTATATTGTGTCTCGTGCGTGTCACGTTAATAGTAAGCAGGTGTGTTCGTTGCTTGTTTTCCTGTCAAGTGTCATTACGTTACAAACATTTATTACTCCAGGGGGACAAGATCAACATCCTTTGTGGTAATGGTGCTCTAGAAAGGACGGTAAGTTCACACGTTCATCGCGGGATGCTATCCTTAATGTTCTTAAAATTTGCCGTTTAAAAAAACCTCAAATATTCCCAGTTTAAACTCCCTTGCATACAGTATATTTAAATCTGATATATCTATATGTATTAGTATCATGACATGTTAAGATATATATCTGATATGATATGCTTTTCCATATTTGTCTTTACGTGATTTTACGTTTGTTATAGACAGCGGAGGCCGAGACGGTGATCCACCCAGAGGGTTGTCTATACAAATTGGGAATATGGATAGAGCGGAACTCTCTGATCGTTGGGGGCAGTACACTAGGCATATTCATACCTCAGGTAAAACTAACAATGGGAAAGATGGATCTACCTAGTCATGGAATACAGACTTGTTAACAAAATACGTAATTCAACATCAAAGTTAATAAAAGGAAAACAACATATGAATCTACGAAATATTTATATGACAAATTACTAGGAAAATAAGACTGAGTATACCAGAAGTGTAAGAATCTTATATTTCATCCACGATACTGACCACGCTAGCTAGGTCAGTCTTAGTAATGTCACGTTCCCCAACTTAGAATCGAGGTAACAACTTTGAGATTCTACATTGCTCAAGAAAATGTATTTCTCAGTAGGAGAGACTTGTAATCATCAACAGTTTACCAAACAGCTGATTAGAAAGTGTCCTTGTTAATTGTGTTGTAGGTAATGAACGGGATAATGTTGCTGATACTGAATAGTCTGGTATATGCTACAGTATAAGTTCGGTAGCTTATTTTATCAGAAAATATATTAGATTGTCCAGTGTATTTTTACCGGGTTTTTCTTTTTATCAAGCAGCTCGCTTTCTTTCTACTTTGGTGAAAGAATAGGGACATTGCACGTCCTTGTATAATATACATAAGCACCTTATAGTGCTGTCGTTCTGTGCGTAGTCCCTGTTCACAAATTTTGAATCCCTGACTGAGAGATTAAATTTCATCTTGATGTTGAATAGATGCAGAAGGTAAAAAGTTCGACTGTGTAGTAGCAAAGCATTACTATTTCAGATATCAACAGGGATCGCACCCGTGTCCGAGTTATGATGTTATTTGGCTGTTTGTGATTCACCTACGCCTTCCCCTAATTCGTCTGACTAAACACTTTATGTTATAATGTTTTCATGTTTGTTTTGTTGCTTCCAGGTTATCGCAATCTGCTTTGCAAAACAATTGAAGGACCAAATAAAAGCACAGATTGCTAAATGGGTGTTTGACAGAACGTGACGTCATACCGATAGTTTGACTATATTTAAAAACATGTAATCTTCTTAATACATATATCAATGACAATGTTCTCAAAGAATTAGGACCGCCTTTTATGTGAAAAAAGTTCCATGTCGTACACGTTTTATGTGCTGTTCTGATCAACGGTTACATACAAATACATTATGTCTCTTATTTTATATGATGATTATATGTTTGTACACTGTGACGAGGTCATCATCTGCCTACCATTCTTAAACTGTTGGAAAGGACCTAAACAGAACAGAACTTTAGGGTGGTTCCATGATTCTTATTGTACATCATCATCCTGTCATGTAGAAATAAGTTTGTCCGTCCGCATTTTATGAAGTTTGATGATATTAATAAAACAAAACAAAAAAGAAAATATCTTTGTGACATTTTTTACACAAATGAAACTTGTGTGAAGTAGCACCGAATGACTAACACGAAAACTAATTTTAAACTACTAAATACTTATATACAGGATACGTATTGCTAATTCAATAGTGTGGTATTACCTGCTGATGATGGGAAGTTGTTTTCAGACCGTGTCTTCAGATGAACCTGACTGTTGCGAGGACGCAAAACAGCGAATATTTGACATATATATTCTCCATTTTGTTTTTTATTTTTCTCAGTCGCCTCTTCGAGCTAACACTTTAGCCTTACGACGAGAGTTTGATCCATTATTCGACTATACTTCCTCAAATTCTAAAATCTTTTGTGCAGTCACTTAAATGTTAATCAATTTCGGAACATTTTCTTCGGATCGGTAACATCAATAGAATAGAAGTTCTTACAACACGGAGGCTAGAAGATTTGAGAGTGACGTCTCGATGACTACACGTCACCTTCATCAGACAGATGACCGGTGTGGAGCGTGCTAGTACTGGCGTATGTGGTGTACGAAATGTACACAAAAACACATTCCGAAAATAATGTGGCGAGATTGCAAACATATTATAGACCAAAAGTAACACAAGGTAATAACGTACTGTAGTCAATTCGGCTACGTTTAGTCATATATGTGTAAGGAAACAAGCCAATATTGTACAAGTTTACAATTTGACCAATAACTTCGATATATAGGGGAAAAAACATTCACAAAAATATCATCAGAGCATGTTCAGCAGTAGAAATGTGAATATACTGTTTGTATATGTCTAGATAGTCAATATACGAAGATATCATCTGATTTGGATTTGGTTAAACAAATAAAACACATTCAGATACATTTCAACAGAACAATTGATTATTACTGTAGCAATTAAAATTTGAAGATTAACAACTGAAGAAATTGGTTAACAACAGCATTTTAAACAAATAATCTACTGTGACCATGCTTCTATCCACTTCAAATACAGGGTACAGAGAAAATATCGAATTAATTGAACTGCTTATACAAATTCATTAAAGAAACATTTTTATTGACTGAGAAATAATTGAAAAAAAACAAACAAACAAACAAACCGACAACAAAACATTAGCCGTGACTTGTACGTAATCACTTCCGTACACGTTTTTTCCTGAAAATCTAATCGAATAGGTCTAATATCGATTATTGTATGATATGGACGTCTCGTTAAATATCCCGAACGTATATGAAACATTCGTAACCCAGATAAAACGTAATCAAGAACGAATGTCTTTATTATAATCATGTCTGCATCGTACACTTGTCAGCCATATACTGTACACGTGCCTTTGAAATTGCATTGTATATTTATGTACGAACGGAATCTATCGAGTGATAAACTTATAGATAAATAAATGAAGAAAAAAACAACCGAGACATTAAGATAAACTCAAGTGATCATTGATAATCACGTACGGTTTTGGTTATAAATTTGCTGTTATGTGGAAATGTCGTTATATTTTATTATTCATTTCCTTTATTACGTATGAAATCGTTTACTTTGAAGATATAAAATGTACTTTGATCAGAAAACAATATAACTGTTTAGTATATATAAGCAACAGTCCGTCTTAATGACTCGGCGATACACGTTCATTGATGTCATGTTTACCTGTATAGCGATGGGACCTAAAATTGACACAACTAATTTCTAATTACAGTTTGTCAAATTTATATCAATTAATGGGAAATTTACTATACTTTATAGCCAAAATAATCATTTTGTTAAAAATTTGGTAAGACTGTGAAGGAGATTCATGTGTATACATCTTTCAACTAAAAAATGACACAATTAATTTTCATCTAAACATTATAAAAGTATATATTTGTAAAGAAGAAATGTTAATTTTACAAATCAGAGTAATTTTACAAATCAGAGGCATACATTTGTAATTTTTATCTACGAAACGATATATTAATATTTTTCTGAAATGCCACTATGTAATCTATAGTAAAAATATCGTTCACCTGGAGCGAGAAATCCGCGCCACGCGACTCGGTATGTCCTCAATAGCTGCATACGAGTGAAGTATTTCAAATAACATATCATAACCAGAAGAGGTAGCTATTCATTCTCCTGTTTATGAAATTGTGTTAAAACACATAAACACACTCACTCATTCACAACCACATAAACAAAAAATATTGAATTGAAATGGAGACACTGAGTAATTTCTTTAGAATTATTTACATGGATTCCTACGTATACTTCTGGTGACGAATAACACAATATACTAAATTACGCTGTATTAATCACCATTAAAAGCATTTGCATATACACATATTTTCTGAGTACAATTAGTATAATTTGCTTTTCCGTAAGAGCATTTTAATTAATGACGATCAAAATATTGGTCTTTGCGAGTAAATGGAATTACATTGAAATTAACACGTTCAGTAAGTGGTACAAGGGAGGCAACTCTAGTTAATTTAAGCATTGAAGTGACAATGATTTATTAAAGCAGACGACTGATCATGAATTGGCCTCGGCATTGTCTGTTTCCTGCTGTGAAAATGTCATATTACAAGTTTACTAGAAATGACTAATTACCGTTCTACTGGCCTACAATATGAACAAAAGAAAGGCAGGAAAAGGGTTTGTTACCTAAACAATTACCATGCCGAAATGCTTCCCCTTTCATCTTCACATTACCAGATAATGTTTTGGTCTAACGTATGGTTTGTGATTACATTCCGGAAATCGTCTGTCCAGATTTTCCTTCTACCCGAACAGCCTCATGACTCCGGGTTGTAGTGTTATGTATGAGATGGATATTGAAAATAACCAGAGTCTTATAAATAAAACTCATTTTGACAAGACGACGTCTGACACTCTCTAATTTAGAAAAGTAAAATCTACTTTGTACAACAGTCGACTTTTGAAACTTCATACACTCTGAATAAAAGAGTCCATCTCTCTACTGAGTAGTATTGGTTGCCTGAAATTACTTGTCATCATATAAAAATGAAACCAAAGATATTCACGTGTGAAAATATGGCTAATGTAGATATCGGGTATTGGAACACCGGCAAGCTAGGCTACATATATACAGGTAGACTTGTTTATGTTGCCTTAATCTGACGAAACAGGAGAGGTCTGGTCACATTTTTCATGCATGTTTATTGAAAAAATAGATGATGTATCAGGTAAGTCAAGGAAATAAATATTGTTTGTCTACTTAATAGGGCAATTTTTAGAAGAAATTGAATCATTGCTTTTTTATTTGGTGTTCACATCTCCTTATATAGCCGCAAACTACAGTGGTGATTCAGTGGTGAATCCAATATGATGTCTATCACTCATTGTTTTGTCTGTAGATAAGCATCCCTTTGATGGAGATTCGGGCTACAGATGCACTTTTAGCTTGATGCAAATATATCTCTGTGCAGCAAAATAACATGCAATGAATGTGAATTATGTAGGAAGCAAGTGAAATATTGAAAGCAGGAAATATCCTATTGCACCGTCAGAAGATGGGGATAAAAGTACCAAAAACTGCAATGACGAACTTCAATCCTCTCACTGAGAATTAAGTTGTTTTACAAAATCTTTCATTTCACCAACTCACTCTATGCATATATTTGTTGTCCATTTTTTTTTCACTGTGGACATAATCATCACACCCAGGTATATGTACATGTATAGCTGATTTGTTTACATTTGTCCTATATACAGTATATACTGTATGTGGAGTCAGATTTGACTCTTGGTACATCAGTATATAGCAAAAACAGCCTGTGTAGTCAGATTTGCCGTTGCCCCAGTATGCTAATATTACACAACTGTTATATAGGTATATGGTGCTGTCGTTGAATGTGTTAAGTGATTAAATCTAGCTTTAGGTAATTTATGTGCAAGTTTTACAATTTCCAAAATTACGGTATGAGCTATATGGTCATTGTTATTGTTAAACTTGATAATACCATTCAATTATGAAATTAAACACAGGGCTTGGGCAACGTGTGTTTTAAGAAAACTCCTGATATATACCTTCATATTTTCATTGAAGACCTATTGTCATGTTAATATTTTGAAACTTTGTTAATTACATGTGCAGAAAGTAAAGTTGTAAGAATAAATCATGATGATATTGAATTTAATTTGTTTATCAGATATTGTAACTGTAAGATTTGGAAGATCTGACAGTAAAAAACAACCTTTAGAAGCCTACTAAAAATCACATTATGATGAACTAAATGGTTATAAAGTTCAGAATGATTTCTTTTGTAGGCTGCAGCCTATCACAAAGTTTTTGAAGTCAATGCCATCACCAACATGTAAGTAGCATTTTTTTCTCTGTACAGCTTTCTATATATATTGCATTTTAAATCTGAAAAGAAAATCAGGAAGATCAGAACACAAAAGTGTACATTATAGGTAAGATAATACTTCGCCTGGAATTGATGATATTCTTAATGAATTTTTCATCAAGCATCAGGATATATTTGCTCCTGTTCTTTCAAAGCTTTTTAATGTTATTTTTGATATGGGGATTTTTCCCTCTGTCTGGTCTAGGGGTATCATTTTCCCTCTGTTCAAAAAAGGTGACCCCAATGACACAAACAATTACCGAGGAATTACTTTCGTAAGTTGTCTATCTAAATTGTTTACTTGTGTTTTAAATAATAGGCTACTAGAATGGTCTAATGAGTATAACGTCGTCTCCGACTCCCAGTTCGGGTTTAAACCTGGTTTTGGTACTAACGATGCTATTTTTGCTTTACATGGTATAATTCAGAAAATGTTGTCTAATAACCAGAAACTTTATTGCTGTTTTTTCGATTATCGTAAGGCCTTTGATAGCGTAAACAGAAACAAATTATTTTTGAAACTTTTTAATAGTGGTATTAGAGGTAAGCTATTGAACATTATTCAATCATTATATAGTGGTCCTAAGTCCTGTGTAAGGTATAAGTCTGAATTGTCCGATTTTTTTTAATGCTCACAAGGCTTAATGCAGGGTGAGGGGTTATCTCCCTTTTTGTACTCAATGTATGTGAATGATTTCGAAAATGAACTTATTAATTCCTTGTGTGAGGTTTTATTCTTAAGAGACGTTTCTTTATTTCTATTAATGTACCGTATTTATTCTATTAAACGCCCCGTCTCTAATAAACGCCCCCCACCTGTTTTCTCAGTAAATTTCAACAACTCAGGAGTCGGGTTACAAAGCTTACCTTTTAATAAATTTTAAATTCCTGGTATCCATGAACATGAACAAATGAATTTCAGCACAAGAAAATTACACTGTCACGACATGTACACAAGTAATATCAATTTAATCCACGGTTCATTTCAATATACTGCAGGCCAAACAGCCGGGACTGCCGTACGAACTACTGTCTTCACTTTCACTTTCACTTTCGCCAGTTTCGCTTTCACTCAGTTCTATTTGTGGAAGGCGCGTTCACATCACCCATTAAATTTTGCAAAACGTCAACTGCAGCTTGGACATCCTTTTCACTAAACCCCTGGAATTCCTCATCGTCAGAATCATGCTGGAAAATATGAACCTCACTACCGTCCAGCGAATTTGTGATACCGCATTTTTTGAACGATCTTCTGATTGTGTCCGGGCTAATGCTATCCCATGCTGTCTTGACCCAAGACAACATTACAGCTTTAGATGGGGCTTTACGATTCCCTGCTTTGGTTTTCTCAATGGGGATACTGAAACACCATTCGTCATACAACTCTCCAAGTTTCTGTTTGAAGGGTTTATTCCATTACACATCAGCTGGCTGTAGTTTACATGTACATCCTCCGGGTATAACACAGATGTCTGAATTATATTTTTGACGAACCAGTTTTTTACATCTTCAGTAAGATGACCACGGAAAGCATCCCATACTAATAACTGCCTAGCTGTATTATTCACACCCCAGAGTTTTTTTAACCAAAATTTTATACTTTCCTCGTTTGCCCAGGATTTTTGTCCGGCCCCGCACATGTATACCACAATACCACTTGGTATGTCATCTTTCGGAAGGGGACGAATGCCAGTGTCACCGTTATTTTTTGTTTTTCGTGGCCAGTACTGTAAACTCTGACCTCCTTTTCCCCCTTTATTGCCAATGTCGATTTTCCTGGCATGTCAAACCACACCGGGGTTTCGTCCATGTTAGCGATATGGCTATCGGGGTATTCTCGTAGCCGACGCATTCTTAACACGAAATTAAAAAAACTGTCAATACGATCATCAATTAATGAAACTTCATGTTGTGCCACATGCGTAGATCGCCTGAACGAAATGTTATGTCTGTTTTTGAATTTAGAAAACCATCCATATGAGGCTTTGAACGATTGACTACCATTTGCCTTATGCATACGCAGGGCCTCAAAACGCAATGCTTTCCAAGTCACTCGTATTCTGGCCTTCCGTCTGTCCTGTAGCCATCTCATAAGATTTTTGTCAATATCTTCATATCTGACATGCCTCCCACCTCCTTTACAGCGTTTAGATGTTTTAGAAAGATTTTTTAATTTTTCTTTGTTTTGACACCAGTCCCGCACTCGTTTTCTGTCAACACGAAACACTTTTGCGGCGGCATGTTTACCCTTCTCCACTGCGAAGGTGGTTACTTTAAGCTTGAAAGCAGTGTCGTAATTTCGTTTTGTCCCAGACATTGTTATCAGGTATGTGGGATTTATTAAGAAACAGACTGGCTTTTATACCGCTGTGTTTTTTTATTTTGTTATGCAAACTAGGCCTACAATTGGAATAAATACGGTATGCAGATGACACTGTTTTGTTTTCAGAGTCTGCTACTGGTTTACAAAATTTACTTGATTCTTTAGAACAGTACAGTAACAAATGTCAATTGACAGTTAATTTGGAGAAAACAAAAATTGTTATATTTCGAAATGGTGGGAGGTTACGTATTGGTGAAAAGTTTTATTTTAGTGGCATTGAAATAGAAATTGTTGATAAATTTAATTATCTTGGAGTATTGCTCAACTTTAATGGTAAGTTTACTAAAACTCAAATTACAATTGCTGAACAAGGTCGTAAATGTATGTTTAATGTACTAAGAATTTGCAACAATTTGTCCCTTAATGTAGTATCTAAACTAAATGTTTTTGATGTATATGTTTCCTCTGTTCTTAATTATGGTTGTGAAACATGGGGCTATAATTCTGCAGATGTAGTAGAAAAAATACATATTGATTTTTTAAAAAGAATTTTGAATATAAAAAAGAGTACTCCATCTTTTATAGCTTATTCAGAGTTAGGTCGCTTGCCTTTACATATTATCAGAAAATGTTGTATAATCAAATACTGGCTAAAACTTATTAATTGCGATAATTGTGTTCTTAAATCAATTTATGAAGAAATGAATGAATGTAATCATAGAAAATGTAATTGGCGTTGTCAAGTTAAAAATCTGATATTCTCTTCCGGTTTTGGAAATGCATGGTTAACACATCATGTTGATAATGAAAAGTTATTTTTGCAGAGTCTTAAGATAGCGCTTGACTGATAATTTTATTCAGGCAAGGAATGAATTTGTTGACCAGTCATCAAAATGTTACCTGTATAAGTTTCTGATCGACAGTTTTACATTGCAATTTTATTTGACAAAGTCTATCTCCAATGTGTATCTTAAACTCATCTCTAAATTACGGCTCTCATTGCACCAGTTATCCGTAGAAGAGGGACGGTATCATAATATTCCGAGGGCAAATCGGCTTTGCCGTCATTGTGATCAAAATCAGGTAGAGGACGAATTCCATTTTGTTTTGGTCTGTCCACAGTATGTAGATAATCGCAAAAAATTTATAAAGAAATATTACTGGAACCGTCCATCGTCTTATAAGTTAATTCAATTGCTTTCTGTAAAAAATAGAAAAGAGCTGTGTAATTTAGGGAAGTTTTTGCAATTAAGTTTTTTAGCTAGGTCTAGATTCTACCATTAAATTACTACTGTTTCTATCTCTAGGTTTATATTCGTTATATTTACTGTTGGCGTCTATCTCCTGACTACACCACTTTGTAACTGTTATGATAAGCTTTATGCCCAAGCTTATGTAACGCTCAGATAATGCAACTTTGTCTTTGTCTTCTGTCGATCCATTATATTAATATGTTGTATTCTCAGCATCCCATCTTCCATTAATTTGTATATCTTGTACATCAATATTAATTAACTGTATTTAAACTAAATGCGTATATGCTGTACAAGAATGTTATATATGTACTCTGTATACTTATGAGCCGTAAGGCTTAAAGTGAATAAATAATACAATACAATACTTCTGAAAATTGAGTAACTGGTCACTGACAAGTTATAGGTTTAGGCAAGAATTTATGGAACTTGATCAGTCACCACTGACCAGTATGGCTTAGGAATACAACATGCTTTGTTTGTGTTGCATTATGTCTTAATTCAGAAAGAGCTTCTATAATTACACTGAATTGGTGTTTTTGACTCGCCTAAAATAATCCCACAAAAATTTACTACAAAAATCATTTCAGTCTTTCATAAAATTAGCATTTGATTGGTAAAATTAACAAAAAAAAAAAAGTACGTTGAAAAACATTCAGTGATAAATGATATGATTTTTTTTTTTTATCAAAACTTTTGTGACATTAGTTTGTCAATTATATTTTATTGATCATTGCATCCAGTTTTCCAACTGAAAAGTGGCATATCTGCTTCAGTTTGAAAGAAAAGGTACAGATAAAAGGAAGGTTCAACATTTTGATCAAAATTGTTTAAGCGTTGTTGGTCCTAAGCAATATGCATCTAGATATATTCTAAAATACTCATATTACATACTTCATTACTGATTGGTCTTAAGTACCAAAATTTAATCACTTATGAGTTATACTATTTTGAATATGATAATTGCTTGGCATGTTCTTAAGTAAATACTTTTCTAATTATTCTATTTGGATTCTTTTTATTTTGATTTGACTCTCAGGATTCTATGGCTGATCATAACTAATTTTGATGTTTTGATGATGTTGCAGACATAGGGTCATGCTTAACTAATGATTTAAGGACAGTAAAAAGTAGATATATATGTGTAGTTAATAAATGTGTGAAAGATAATGTGTATATATTTCAGCAGACAGACACCCACCAGGTCGTGTTCCTCAAGGAGATGTCAATGGTATGTAAACTGTCCACTCATTGGCTCGTCGCCTAGATGGTAGTTATCTGTGCTTCTGCTTTGCTATTGTGGAGATGTTGTACGTGGACTGTCTTAAGTTGGTTGTAGATGCCATCATATACATTTTTTGTGTAACTATATATTATATACCTATTTGCTGGACAATTTGACTTGGTCACATTTTTATGATCACTTCTTTATTCTGTTGTACCCTGTGTATTGTCACTTTGGATTAACTGTTGGTGATTTGTTTTTTATAATTTTCTATTCCGTTATTCACTGGAACAAAGAGCAATTTTTGTGAATATGTTTTAGACGTATTGACATTTTCTTTTCAAAGTTTATACAAATTTCCCAATATATGCTCAGTACATCCATGATCCAGGAATGTATCCTTTCAACCAGAACTTTATCAGGGATATAGGATCAAGGCAATCACAGCAGCAAGGATTCGGTAATAACAGCCATGTAGGTAGAGATATGGGACGATACAGAAATGACAGTTGGTTTTCTCAGCAAAATAACCCAAGATATGGAAATGACTCGAACAAGTATACAGATATGTATGGAAATGCTAATCAAGGTAGGCAAGGTTTTCAAGGGGAATATAATAACTTCAATTGTCAAAGGCAATTGTCAGATAATCAAACTCAACAGAATGATAGACAGTACATGAGGCAGAGTGAGTACCAAAGAAGTGGAAGCTATCCTTGCCAATTTGGGCATCCATATTTTCAAGGAACTACAGCTTCAAATCAAGTAAACTGGCTTATAGACAGGCAAAGAAGAGCTTTCAGTGGTCAGTCTTATTGTTTCGAAGAAGAACGATGCTCTCCTGAGTTTAATTATCCAAGAGGAAGACCGTACCCCAATGAGTGGGAGTTACAAAGAGAAAGGCATAATTCAGCTGATCATCATCAACATTTTGAAAGACAAGACTTCGCTAATGATGGTGTAACAAGGGAAATAATGCAGCCAAATTTGTCTCACTTTAAACAGAAGTACTACTGTTCATCTTCTCAAAATTTCAACCATGATCAAAGCTGTGGAAGAAACTTTACACCTTACAATGACCAGACCACATTGTTTCAGAAGCACATATCACCTCAGAGATATAGAAAGAAGAATAAAATGATAAAAATGAGTTATTTGAATCAAAGATATGTGCCAGAAAATGTGCAGAGATCTAATATGATGCACTATTCCTCCAATCAAAAGACTCAAGTCCATTCAAAACTTGAAAACTGCAGTGATCACTCAACTGAACATGACAACAAGGAAACTGAAAAATCTAGTACCTTGGATCAGGACAATATAAAAGATTTTACTACAACTCTTGTCAATACAGCTTCTGAAAAGCTATTGCCAAATGATCAATCACTTCAGAAAAGTTCGCAGGAAATGAAATCCAAACTGTCATGTCTCGAAATGGAGGGTGACAATAAGAGCAGTTCTAGCCATATGGTTTGTGATAAGGAGGAAATTGGACCCACAAATGTCAATCAGAAAGTTTTCTGCAAAACACCAGTATGTAACGTACAGACTGAATACAGTCCCTCTAGCAATGAAAATCAAGAATGTAAGATTCAGTCTCCAAGTACTGAGCAGGTGGGTGGAATCACTGGTCGAACAACCAAAACAGATCAGTCAGCTGTAGAAAATGTACAACATTGTATGGAACTTGTTAGTCTGGATGGTGAAACATGCATGTTGCAAGATAATGAAAGAAACACAGGTAAAATTTACATAGATGTCAATTTTTTGCTTTGCTTGCCACTTCCATATGCTTTTCGCCATCACCTGACTTTTTCATGACCCAGAGAAAATCAAACAAAAGTATTAGAGAAGCAAGATGTGGATCTAAATGCAGTAGAACTTGATGCACAATATAGAGCCCTATACCTAGATCCTTATTCATTGCCTGCTTAATGCATTTTTGAAAATTATTTTCAGATTTGAATATGCATGTACCTCATATTCTTTTTCTCTCCTGCTTCATAGTCTACCATTAACATGCATGCCTGTGCACTTACTGACTTGTCATTGCTTGTAAAATAAAGTTTGTCCCAAACCTTACTAATTTTAACTTGGCCTTAATCTAGAGAAGAGGGGCTAAACCTACATGGTCTGGGAAATTTCTTGAAAAAGTATTTCCTTTGTTGGTTTAATCCTGATAAATGAAATTGTACCAGCAATCTAGTTTTGATTAGAAAGAACAATTGATTCATGGCCATGCATTTGCTATTGTAAGTTAGAAGAGTCCATTGCTAATTTTCTTATTAACTAAATTGGATTTCTATTTCACCATCAATTTATATAAGTATAAACTTACTGATTTTTTTAAAGCTGCCGGAGGCGGTCGTATATTGGCGTCATCTTCTCCGTCCATACGTCCATCCGTACGTCCATTTCTTGTGAACGCAACTCCTCCTAAAATGATCATCAAATTTTCATGAAACTTGCTCAATGTCACTAATACAATAGGTAGATCTGCATGAAGGGGTGATTTATTGGTTCGTTGATTTTTGTAAGATTTATGCCATTTTCAACTTTGTATCTACTTGCTCATAGTGGAGCCTTGTGAATGTAACTCCTCCTAAACTAATGATCAGATTTTCACGAAACTTGCTCAACGTCGCTACTACAATAGGTGGATGTGCTGGAAGTGGCAATTTTACGGTTATTCTTGATCTTTATATTTTGTGGCAGCGTATATTGTGTCCATGGCACTCTTGTTTATTGTTGCCTTTATATATATATTAAAAACTATCACCTTATGAACAATGAGACAATTGGTTTTTGCTGAACTATACACAACAAAAGTTTAATGAAAACTTACTGAAAGGAAACCTTTATCTCTTGATCAACAGTATGGATATGTAAAATTCTGCGTCATTTATGATAACACATGTACACAAAACACTGTCACCAGTAAACCAAAATGACTTCCAGTCTGAATCGGTTGGTAATTAATGTTACTTATTTTTTATAATTTTGAATTGATTTAGAGTTATCAGATAATGTCTGCCACACCCAGAAGAATATCTGGTGCTGAGAAAGGTGATTTTACCGACTGAGTTACTACTGTTGCTCTTTGACATTCATCCCATTAAAATATGGAATTTCTTGCAAATTTATTTGAAACACAATTTCAGCCATTTCAATTCTGATTGTTTGGATCACATGGTCCAAAAAAAAATCAAATATGTCCTGAACCTGTGTTGCCCAATGGCATATTAGAAGACAGAAGAAAACTATTGATTCTGCAGGTGTCCAATTTCAGCCCACTGTTATCAAATGAAAGACTATTCAAATCACCCTTAAATGTCTGTGGTTTTCAGCATCCCTCCATAAACAATACTTGTTGTCACTATTTCTGAGGAGGTACTTGAGGGATATTTCTCAAAATTCAGTTGTCCCCCTTAGTTCCTAGTTGTGCCCATCTTGAATTTTGTTATCGCTATTATAAGAAGAGTATTTCTTAGATTTGATGTGTAGGCTCAGAAAAAACAAATTTCTGATGTACAGGTATCTTGTTAGGGTCTGTACAATAAATCTATAGTGATTTGGCCTATGATAATATTAAGTAATTCAAATCATCTCATCATATTTTCTTGTGAATAGGCCAAAAAGTTACATTGCATAGCCCATAAAGCACCAAATCATTTGATTTTTTAAAAAAATAAGAAAAAACAAAATATGAATTACCATTTCTCAAATTTGAGGATTAAATCCTGGCTTTCATAATTAAACTAGCAAGTAGCTAATACAGTGTATATTGAAATTGATAATGTACCTTTCAGATATCATTGATTGCACACTTGCTTCAGTTTGTCAGATTTTTTCTGTTTATCGGTCTCTTGTAAAGTGTAATTTATCATGAAAACATGTAGCACTTTTTCCCCTTTGTTTTGACTTATTATCATCATGTCCACTTATTTTTTCAGCATGGGACATGTGTTTATTGTTCTGCCTTGCAGTGCTCTGTTTGATACTCTGTAGATATTTTCTTCCTTGCCATCAACTGTCAGATTTTTTACTGGTTCTATTTTAACCAAATTTGGAACTTTGCTTTATGTGAATATGATCTGAGTTGAGCTTGATACTAGTCAAAATCCATCAATATTTACCAGACTTACTGGCCTAATTAAAAGTTGAAGATCATTTTTTTTTGTTTCCATCAAATAAGTTTAAGGTTTTTTAGCAAGATTTTAACCAAATTTGGTATACTGTTTTCCCTCAATTAGATCTCAGATTAGTTCAATATTGGTCAAATCTGTAAAGATTTGTCATAGTTACAGAGCTTTAAAACATTGGTGATTTCTTTGTTTCCATCAGTTAACTAATTTTTAATGCTAGACAGTAAGACTTGAACCATATTTTGGGATTGCATTATATCAGTGAGATCTCAAAGGAGTTCAATGTTTGTCAAAATCTGTCAATATTTGCCAGATCCAGAGTTACAAGACTTTAATGAAGAAAATAACAGAAAGAAACATGGTATATAGAACTTTTAATTGAAGTTCCCCATTTGATTTGGTGGACTTGCTTTAGTTGCATGTCACTTTCCATTATTTGACAAGTACGTCCCATAGTCTTCATGCTTTCCTATTCAGCAAATGCATTCTTAATGACCCTTCACTCGATGATACCATATTTGTTCACTTGCATCTTCAATGTATTGCAAAAGTGTCTTTCCATTGAATTTCCTAGCCCTCCTGTTTGCGTTATCTTCATGAATGGTTTACCATGTGGGGCATATTGTTTTCTTCTTCTTTTTATGTGTGAACTATTTCAGTGTTTTATGTATGCAGGACTTATACCAGACATTTTAATTGCATTTAAAGGCATGTAAGGCTTTCATTGTTCGTTTGGGTCAAACTTGTACTAGGTGTACAGTTATCATGCTATCATTAGTAAAACCAAAGGTTGTTTGGTCAGTGTCTCATTGTAACTCACAAGTGTATATAAGTTTTTAACTCCATTCAATCCTAAGATATTTCTTTTCAATATATCTACAAATTTTGTTTGTGTAGCAGTTTGGTATTCATCTCCATCTCTAAATGATATGATCAAAGTTGTTGATAGACTGTCAAACAATAAAAGCTTTATTCTTCATTGTTTTATCTTATATGTACAATTGTTTTAAAGGTTCACCTCAGCAATCAAAAGATGCACAATGTCTCTTGATACGTCCATCAGTTGCAGAGAAGAATAAGCCTCTGTCTCCAGCAATGAAGGATAGAAAACAGTTTTTTGGGGTACCCCTGCAGAAAAGAGGTAAAGAGACCCCAAAACCACAAGGGACAGGAAAAACCTGGTCATCTAGTGATTATTTTACAGGTAGTGGAGAATCCCAAGATATACAATCAGGTACAGTTAAGGTTCATACAGGAAATTCAAGTATAAACACATCTGTAGGAAGTGAACTGGTATCAGAATATTCCAATGCAGATAATAAAACATGTGTTGGTGGAAATGGAGATCAAGACACTATTCATAAGTACAGTACTTCAGACATAGGAGACAGCTTAAAGGGAAGTAAGATCAGAACACCAGCAGCTAGAGAGGGACAAGAAGGAAAATGGAGAGACGGAAGACATTCAGATATGTCTGATAGCATGGAAGGAAATAGGGAAATATGTGATAGAGATGCATGGCAAACACCAGACAAGGATTCTAGCAGAAGAGAAAGGATAGCAAGAGATGACAAACAGCCACTGTACTGTAGAGAACAGCAAGTGACTTCAAGAGGAATGGAGACTGGTAAAAAATATACAGAAAATAAAATGTCCTTCACACAGGAACAACAATCAGTTGACAAAGGTGAAAAAATGACAGAGAGCGTGACTTGTTCCCAAAACACTGGGTTAACCTACAGGGAAAAGAACCAACCTGGTGAAAGAAGACAGTATAATAGTCCCAACAGATTTCCTCGGGATCATGATAAACGAAGACAATATGGATCATCGCAGTATAATTCACCACGGAGTAGACAGGAGAATTATTACTCACAGAATAAGTGCTTGGATAGGGATAGAACAAAGCAACACAGAAGTAGTATTGAGGAATTTCAAATAGGTTCAAAACAGAGGATAGAGGGATACAGAAGGTCAAGAGACTCGGAGAGTACAGTTTCACCACAGGGAAGGAACCAAGACCAATTCTCATATGGTAGTGGTAGATCCTACAGAGGTGATCAGTATTCTAAAATTCATAATCTGAATAGCTCTCCATGCTGTGATTCATCTAATTTTGGTAAGTCAGGAGCAAAGAGAGGAAGTTTGGATTCTAGCTGTACACTTAACAACTATCCTGACCAAAAATGTGCTCAAGTTGATAGATCAAAATCTTTTGATGAGCTTAAGTCAAGTCAAAATTCTGAAAGTTTACAGAGAATAGATCAAAAAGTGAAGCCTCCCATGATGGAACAAGATCCCGACATCTCCACAAGGAATAGAAATGTAAAGGAGTTATATTACAAGACAATTGAACAAAACACAGATGTGAGCAGACATCAAAGGAGCATGCATGGATATACTACGACAGAACAAAAGTCTGATAATGCACAAAAGATTCAAATCGTGGAGAATCCTACAAAAACTGATAGAGTGGAATTAGAAATGAAAGTTTCTGGATGTCCAAGTGGCAATGATGAAGATTGTAATGATAGGTCATTAGAGGACGCCCCTAAGGAACAAAAAGAGAACAAATCAAAATTCAGCTCTGTGTGTTGTGCGACAGATACTCATGACAATACTCATTCTCACAACAAATCGAGGTCAGCAATGTTTGAAGAAAGTTCTTCTGCAAAAATTACTCAAAGCATATGTACCAATATTTCTCCACAGCAATTTTCATCTGATGTGTCTGAGATTAAAGGCAACATAAACAAAGCAGATGAAGTTTTTCCAAGTAAAAATATTCAAGGAAATAAAGAATGTTCTTCACAATCCAAATTGCTGATTAAATCACACACAGAAAATAAGAAGCAGCACAACAAAATGAATTCATCACAACAGCTTCAGAAAGGCTTTTTGTCGATGAAACCAAAAGATAAAGGTCAAGGCTGTATGCTTCACAATGACAAAGATACCCAATCACCCATGCCTACAAAACCCGTGGAGGAAAGTCTTCATAGTGTTTGTGATCAGAAGGGACACAATCATAAATCAGCCTTATCTGTGAAACCATCTAATGTATATCGAATGAGCAGTTATAGCAAAGAGGAATATAATCAATCACCAAAGAGACAGTACTCAAGTGAAAGGGAATCTCCTAGACGGGGTCGACATTCCTCAGATTCCAGCCAGGTGAGAGGTAGCAGTAGAGACCATGATAAAGTTAAGGACCGAAACAGGAGTACAAGTGGGGGAAGCACACATTCTTCTGATACAGGAAGGGCAAGATCACATTCTAGGGAATCAGACAGTCATTATAAAGACAAAAGATCCCATACATCACATAAGAATGATTATAGGAAAGTGGCAGGAGAAAAGAATAACGAAAGTAATTTTGATAGTGATTCTGGTAATCACATACAACACATTCACAGACATCAACATAGGTCAAAGAGAGATAAATCTAATAGTCATAGGCACAGACAACGATCAAAAGATGATTCTTCTTACCATGGTGAGAGAAAAGAGGCAGGTCAGCAAAGGTCAAAGGACATGGACTCTAGTTCAATTCTTCGATCAAATGAAGAGCACCGAGATGGAGGCAGAAGTAAGGCAAGGTACAGCAGGATGGATAGTGCTACAGGCAGGTGGAAGGATGATGACATTTATATTGGTAGGTACAGAGTGCTGTTAGTGTTTACAAACGTGTTATTTATACAATTATGTTTAGAATGAATTAAACAATTAAAATTTCTTTCATTTATATAACATAAAATTTGAAACAGTAATTGCACTCTAAATATTCTTTGTTAGAAAAGATTTTTCAAAACAATTTGAATTGCATTATCACTCCAATCAGTGCTGCTTATAGCATTACTAACCAGAATGGTATTTAAGCAGCTAGCAAATGTGTTGGGAATTGTAACAGCACCACCATACATGTGTTGAATTTTTATTTAGAGAATATGTTATAAAACTGATGACTTTTACTTCTGGTTTACAGTGACATGTGCAATTTGCTGCTTTGCTCTACTTACTTAAGATTCAGAAAAAAGAACATCTTTTTCCATAAATCAAACTTCATCAAATGATCTCTGTATCATTCAGTACATATATCCATGTAGTTGATATCTTAAGCTTGCCTGCCCTTTACCTTTTCTCCTTTAAACAATTTGTCTGCTAACCAAGAGACCCAGTGCCACAATAATGGGCAAGTAACATTCTTCTTCTCATAATCAATAGGCCATACATTGGTGAGAATGAGTTAAATTTGTTTTTTAAAACTTGACCTATTTTTAAGGTCATAGGGATCAAATATATTGAAGACTTCCAAATTTTTTTCCAACTACAACATATATACTGTAAAGACGGGGTAGGGTGTTTGAGATGAACTTAAAAGTTACATATTAGATTATTCTTTTCTTCCAATCTAAATCATCTCTGTAAAGCTGCAGAACAGGTGAGTAATACAGGCCCTTTGGGCATCAGGTTACAGAAATTCATGTAAAACTACTATTTTAGACATCAGGAGATGGTAATTTAATTATGTTTAAAACTTGTCCAATATATTGCAGGTCAATAGAGGTTTTAGATCTGGAGCAAACTCTAACAATTATATGGTAAAGCATATTTTCAGTAACATATGTGAACAAAATTGTTCATCATTTCAGTTTCATGCAAGATTCATTTGACTAAAGAAATTGCCATATCACATTATGAGCTTCATAAGCTTTTCAAGATGACTACTGCATTTCATATTGAATTTGACATTTAAAGTCTGTTACCACATTGTCTGATGAACTTTAATAGATCTACTTAAAATGTTATGGACATCTTTGGTATTGGTTCTTGTTGTGCTTAACATTTTTTGAGTTTTCTATGAATATTTAAGGTGACTGCTAGGTGCAGTTAAGATTATTATATTCAAAGTTTGTTATTGCTATTCCTGGAGAGCTACAAGAAGGATCCTCTTCAAACCATTTCATTTAAGATAGCCACCTGCACTCATTTTGAGATTCATAATCAAAATGGCAACCAGTGCCCTCTTTGAATTTTGGAAAAAGCAATATTTTACACATGATAACACTTCTAGTTTTCAATTGTTTAAGGTTTCTTAATGTAACTAATCAATACAAAATGTAATTTTGATGTCAATACAGCATATGAACAAATTTCTCTGATAGAAGGAAAAACAGCCATAAGGATCTAATTATTTGATGGTTGACATTACTATCCATAAAGCTCACCAGAGTCTTGTTGAAATGAAAAATACCTTTCACACTTGCTTCGAAAAGCTTATGTAGAATAGAAACTCCTGTTAGGTCCTGTAAATTTATACATCACAATCAGTTGTTATGGTCAGTTTACGTAAAAAGTGAACTGTTATCGGCCAATTTTATGAGAACAGTGCAATTGTCTTTGATATGAAAATCGTGTCATTGTGGAAGATTCTTAAAAGTTATTATTGTCAGTGTTCTGAATTGAAAACTTTCTGCTGATGAGTTATTTGAATAATGAAGTAATTTGTTAAATTGATTAGATACTCATATACATAAAGCTATGAGATGAATTCGATTGTTTTGTAATGGAACATTTGTATGCTTTGATTAAGGTTTAATAGTCTGCTTTCTTATTGAATGAGCATGTTCAGGATTGTTTTGGGGGTCAAAATGTCAAATGTTAAAATCACTATTACTGGTAAAAGAAAGTTGGTGCAGATCATTATTTCCAGACATTAACATGTGTACAAGTTTTTAAAACAAATTAAAATGAAGCTATTGCTCTCTTTTGGGAATGCTTGCTTGGGATAGCTTTTGGGGTTGAAAGGTCAATTGTCAAAATCACTGTTACTAAAGATAAAATCTGTTTCATCTTAATCTGAACTTAATATCATATCATTTCCTTAGGTAGGACTGGACCCCTCAAATACATATCTATGCATGGTGTTGTAAGTTCAGTCAGTCCAGTCATTTAACTGCTTACATAAAAGCAGCCTTACAAAATGTGTTGTCTGTCTGGGATGATCATCTCCTAATCCTGTTTGTGGTCAAAGAGATGAGATGAGTTCTGAAAAAAAATATTTCTCAAAGGTCATAAAATGTAAGACTAAGCAGTTATTTTCCATATTCATCATACATACATATATTGTTATTCAGCTGTCTGTCAGTGGTATACTGGGGATTCCAGCCTACTTTCAATAAATGTAAATTTGTCTGTTTATGATATAGAGAATTAACATTTCATTTCATAAACTGTGTCAAGTTGACATGCTTGTGTTACATTTAGCATGCATAACTTTAATCCATTTCACATTTCATTGTGTCTTGGTTAACATGTTATTATGTATTATCTTGCTTGCTATACTGGAAAAGTCCACTTAATATTTGAAAATGATAAAAAAAAACCACATGGACATAAACCACTATCCATTAATCTCTTGGATTTTCAAGGAAAAATATAGTAAAAATTATTTCAAAGTTCATATTTGATATCTGTAAATACATTATGTAAATATTATTACCATGCTTTCCATTAATAGTATATATATTGGTTATTTGGTGATAGAAATCCTCAGTTATGACCATTTTGCAATATTATGATTTTTCAGAAACTTCTAGGAATTAAAGGCATTTGTATATGTGTAGTGTGTATAAATATACTGACTGCTGGTAATTTTTTTGTTAGAAATTAGAAAAAAGCAAAAAGTCATGCATTTTATTATCATCCCTTTCAGTTAATGATACATACATATTTTTGAAAATATTGTTAAATTCCCCATGACATATTTTAATGGATTATGTTCAAGAAAAAATACAAGTTTTCTTTTATTCATTTTAAAGTGTATCATTGTTCTCGTATACAAACAAGTCAAAATATTTTGTCAAGGATCTTTCGGAGATCAGTGTTGCCTTGTTATTATAAATCTTCGGTCTGTCTAAAATCATTTAAAATAAGCAGGTCCAATTATAAGGTAATCAGATGTACATATATAAACAGTATCAAACTGATCTAGACACCTTTGCTTACATATACATATAGTACCTGAAATGTATATAAACCTGATATCTTTCTCTATCATAAATATTTGCCCTGTTATAGCAGATATCAGATGTATAGTCAACTTTGGAAGTAGAAAGAAGGTCATATTGAATAATATATAGAACTAACTGATATTCACATTGTTGAAAACATATTGTTTACCTTAAAAATGTATGAATTATAGTCTGATTTTGTATGCAGTTTGTCTACCACATGGGGATTTGTGGGAAAGGTAGCATATGCAGTTACTGATAAGTTTACTAGCCTGTCACAAAGTATGGTAGACAAGGAGACATATAGGACATCAAATAGTTTTACTGTTAAAGAATTCTCACTCTATCTTCCCAAAGGAGGTAGTGATGTTGACATAGATGAAGAAGACTCTGATGATGAATTGGAGACTCCATTTTTCCTGACCTCATTAACAGAGGCAAGGTATGTATTTCAACATTAAATTCAAATATCAGTCGAGGCAAGGTACATATTTCAACATTTCATTCAAATATCAGTCGGACAAGGTATGTCTTTCAACATTTCATTCAAATATCAGTCATGAATTGTCAGACATATCTGAAGCGAAAATGAGTTACATTTTGTATATGGAGAATGCTTAATGTTGAAGAGAGACCGTCTGCAGGATGTTTTTTAAACTTAGTTATATTCACAGTACAATCATACAGGTACAATTAAATGCTTTACATAGCTATTCCATTGAAATATCAAACAAATTTAAACTTTTACTGATCAGATCAAAACACAGTCTTATTTTTTTCAATCATTTAATTGAATAGAAATAATATATATACATTAAATTTGTAATTGTGCTTTAACCTCTTCAAAAATTATATTTTTCACAGAGAGGTGGAATGATTGATTTTATATAAATCATCTTTACTGATTGAAAAAAGCAGGGTGAAATATTTTCTCATTTTAGTTGTATTAGTACAACAAGAATTATTGTTTTATGAAGAAAGTAAAAAGAGAGATAAGATGTATTATTCATTTTACCCTGGACAGGTAAGCACATGCTCTTTATCGGTGTGAGATTACTTTGTCACATGCCTCACCCTAGTGTTGAAAGGGGTTGGGAAATTTAAGAAAATGATTTGACCTCAGAGTAATAGCTTAACGATGAAGCCAGCAGGGTAAGAGAAAAATAATCATTCACCCACTTGTTGATGAGATATGGTGATCTGAACTTTCGGGAAAAGATTATTAAGTTGAAAAACACTCGGCAAGCCTCATGTTTGTTAACTTAATCGTCTTTCCCCTGTGGGTTGAGATCCACCTTTCTCGCTTCCAAAGGTGTTAAAGATTCTATTAATCTGTCTAACGTGACTATATTCAGTGACCTGTTGTTACTGGATTCTGTCCTCAGAAATGTTCAATGTAAAAACTCAACTTGTTGTAAGTAAGATATTTTTTTTGTAGTTGCTGATTTTTGGTGGAAAACTAGGAGTTGGTAATTATTTCCAATAAAAACGGTCTAAATGTTATCTGAGATGCCTTATTAATGTTATTTCTGTAAGATTAGTTAATTTTCTTTTGCTTGTTTTCAGCTCCAGACCAATTCCTTCCACGCCAACCAAGGGTATTAATTCTGTAAGTTTTACCACAATACTAATTTTGTTTCATGAATGATATTCTATTCACCACAGAGACCTTAAGAATGCTTATTTATTGACCAGTCCCCCATCAACATATTGTGGGCTGTTGTTAAGGTCAGCTTGATTTGAGTTTTGAAGTTAAAAGGTATTAATAGTTAATAAAGAAGTTACATCTGAAATAGCATCCTTGTGTTATAAGTATTGCAACCTTGGTTGTACATCTTGGTGTGACATTGACCCATTGGCTTTTCCAGTTTCCTCATCATCAATTTTTTTGTGTTCAGGTAAGTGAACACAGATTGTAAATTAAATAAGTCTGTTCCACTTCAATGCATGTTACAGCTGCTGAATAAGACCATGACTTCACTGACCAGATACTTCAGTAACATCTCAATGTGATATATATGTTCTATACCTAACTGCAGCTCTGCAACAAAAATTATTTAGGTTTACTCAAATTTCAATCCTTTATTAATTTAAAAGTTAAACATAAGTCTCATAGGAAATGTGTAAACAGGAATTATACTGAGTGCAGCCATCACACCTTATTAGAGCAACTGATATTGGAAGTAACCTTCCTGAATATTGTATAACAATTGCAGTAAACATTTCAGAATGTACACCAGAACTTCCACTGATAGGTGGTTCATGTTGATTATGTATAGATACAATGTATGGCCATGTAATGGATGTAACTCAATATTTGAAATATTATAGGGATTCACTGGACACTAATTTTCTCTTTTGCAAACTGCAACAGAAACCATATGATTTTCGATGGACAAGTAGAAGTTCTGAGGCATGTCAGGTTCCACTTTCCCATTCACTTAACTATTGATGCCAGTGTACCCACAGTTAAATCACAATACTTTTCAATATTGTAAAAGAATATATTTTTCAATGCTATTGTGTTGTTTTTATGTCAGTCAAAGACAGAATCACCGACACCATCCTGCAGGCCACAGATCTCGCTGGCTCCTTTGTCTTCATTCAACTCAGGCTTCTCACTGGATGTCCTATTAGCTGAAGCCATTGATAAGGTAAAAGTGTCATTTATTGGTCTGGAACGCTAGTAGAAACCAGAGTGCCGGCTTGCTGATACACCCACTCTATTTACATGTGGATTTTTCAACTGGCAATGATATGTAAGGTTAGAGTCACATCACCAATGCAAACAAAAAAAATTCACACAGAACATTTAGACCTTATTCAAGATCTCCAGCCATTAGTTTGATGTTGTTTATGATCAATTTGGGGTTTTACAGGTGAAGGGAGGTAACTGAAGAACTATAAACTATCACAGATCATATGATCATTGCTGTTAAATTTCAGTTACTGAAATTATTTGATTTGTGATATTGACATTTCAGACATCAGAAGAAAGACAGTGTGAAGACATGCATGCAGTACTGGAGGTATGCTTAGTAAAGATGTTTATATATGACAATTGCATTTCGAATTTTACTTGGAAAATATGGAGAAAAAAAAGATAAATGTTGATACCCATAGGTCTAGTGTTGATACAAACAGGCGTGAATAGATGTTGATAGAAACAGGTTTGGATAGATGTTGATACAAACATGTCTGGAAAGATGTTGTGAAAAAAATGTCGAGATTAAAATAGATACAAACTAGTCTTTATATATTGTTCAGATGACATGTACCAAGCATTCACTTGTACAATGCACACATGATTTTGATCAAAATGAGATAGAATCATCAATAATCACATGTCTTATAATGGATAGCTGTGTGTGGTGTAGCATACCTTAAATGTGTAATATTTCGCTAGTAGATAGTGTAACAGTTGGAAGATGTACAAAGACAGAATTTCTAGATATTTCACAATGAGAAGATTGAATATGTCTGCTTATATATTTACTAGGAAGGACTTAGGAAAGGTGGTTTTGTGAAAGATACTTTGGAGGTTTCTGAAGAAGCAGTTGTTGATGGTAAGTCTATTAAAAGGTATGCAGTCATACTTTGCTGTTTCAAAAATTAAGGGACTATAAAAAAATTTATATCGAGACTTTAAATCATTCGTGGTGGGTTATATTGACATTTCATGTTCATGGCTTTATAAAATTGATTTGATATTTCTATCTGAACTAACACAACAAATACCAAAACACAAGTCCAATGGAAAAGATATATTTTTACCTCAAAACAAAACATTTTCATCCATGAAAAAAAATGCATAACTTTAAATCAATGAGAAATAGACAATGCATGCTTACGTTTACTTTCCTGCCTTCCTGCCACACAGTATATATATTTTATGGATCAATTTTAAATGAAACGACATGCAGCATTAAAGATTTCAAGAGCGATACATACACGTTATAGACACCAATGAATTTAAAAGAGAGCAAATTAATACCATAATGTAATCGGTCCAGAAACAACACCATTAACATAACACATCTTCCATATATCGTAGAAATAACGAGAGTGTTTGCCAATGTTCTGACAACAGCTAGTTGGAATCAGTCGGAGAATGCTTGATTGACAGATAAATCACCATGTTTCTCATGCTTTTATGCTTATAACTGAAAAGTGACACTTCGGGAATGAGTGAAATCATCATACAAGTGATAGAATTTCCTCTGATTGTTTTCAAAATTCCGTAAATTAGATCTAAGTAAATTACCCCAATGGCGGCAGTGAACATGGCATTGCGTCCAATTTTGTTTGATTAAATATCATGGCTTGTAAGTAAGCAATTAAATATTAATCAGTGACCAGTCATTGATTAACCTCGTAACACAGAGCTGATGATAGCGGGCTATTGTAATCCATCGTCAGGTAGCACTCTTTGTTGCACTGTAACTTGTAGCTTGCTGTCCATGAAAAAACTTTGATACATCACAAAGTTTGAGTTATAAAACTCCATTTCATAAAGGGTCAAGTTAGTGATAATATATAATAGAATTCAGGACTGGACAAAAACTTTGATGCATCGACTGTTCATTGCAAAATACAAACAAACAAAACCCCCCCCCCGGTGATCTTTTCCTAGTCTTTTAATTGATAAGAAACCATTTTCAACATTGTCAGATCTCTATAATTATGTTTCCCTGTGATATGCTTTAAATATGTCAATTATTTTGAAGATTTCATGTTTTGAATATTCATTTTGCATTTATTTCCTTTTAGAAGATCTGTTACCTGAACATGAACTCAAACTTAAGGAAGTAAGTATTGTCAATATTTTCATTTAATATCTAAGAACTGATTAATTTTATAGCTAGCAAATTTAGCTGTTACTTTTGAATGTTACTCTTTGAAAACCTGGCTATGTGTTACACAAAATGTTTGATTTTCATATGATGTGTAATTAATGTTATGTACATGCCCATTTGCATTAGCTGGTGTTTGATGACTTTGAGAAAAAATTCAGTAGTAAATATTGAAATGAACATTATAAGAGCATTGCAGTATTTTAAAAACATATGTTTTATTTAGTTAAAAATTGTATTGTGAGGAAACATTCAACTGTTTTGTTTGTCATTGCTGAAAAGCACTCATAGTCTTAATTCTCCCAGAAACATACACAAAACATGGCTCTCACCTTCAGCATTAAACTGCAGCTTACCTTTTATTTTTCTCTTCCTTTCACATGTGAAACAGGTGCGACAAACTTTTTCTTTCATGCAGTAGTAAAACAAAGTTAAAATGATGATTAAACTACAATTAGTTGTAAAAGATCATTCAGCTGATGCCAGCAACTCTGTGACAGTTCCAGATTTATAAGAGCAAAATGAGTGAGGTACACCCAGGTGAGAATATCTTCCTTGGTAACAAGTACCAGTGCCTGTTCAATGCTGACGTCTCCCTACAAGCATGTGGCTTTGTCCCAGGAACTACCTACATTGATAAACATCTCATAACTGTTCAACCAGGTACCAGTTTACATACACAAAATATTTCACATATAATCAAAGTACTGTGATGATGATAGGAGGAGTTCTGACTTGGAAAATATTATCATAAGAGGGACATATATTTTAAATCAAATCAAAACTTTTTGTCTTTTTTTTTTTTTTTTAAATTTTAAGATGATGTACATTTCAGCAACAAAACATACTCTGACAAAAGCTAAAAGCTCTCAAGAGTTCTTGAAATGTTTTAAACATTATACATTCTTCATTTTGTAGGTTGAAATTAGCGACAGTCAATTATGATTCATCATTATACTCTCACGAGTTGAGTTCATGTCATGTGGATCTAAGGCTTATATGCAAATGAGAATTTTGCACAGTATATAGTTATTATAATACTAATTGACTAATGAAATGCAGTGATATATTTAGAATTTGTTAACATTCCTATCTCTTCTGTTTACAGCTAACTATGTAACTCTCCTGACATCAGACATCATGCTGATGTGTTTTGATGCCATCTCCTGCCAAGATGCTGTGCTGCGGTGGCTGTTATTTATAAGTAAGTGATCATATACAGCCAGCTTTCCAATGTTCCCAATACTGAGATATACAACACTCCCTGAGTTTGATCTTTTGCTTTGAGATGACCCACTGACCACAGGATTTTGACATTTTGAACTTCATAAATTTCATCCATGGAATTTATGGTATCAGTGTTATTTATTGTCCAAAGAAAAAAGGAAGAAAAATATCACTACTGAATACTTAGTGTTAAATAAAAGTACATTGATATTTGATATGTCTTTTAAGTTAGGTCATCAGATGATTGTCAAGCCCATGGGGAGGTGGTCAGTTTAAAGTACATAAATCTGGAAAGCATGATGATGAAGTGACATGGCCCCAACTTTCAATAAAAATGTACCTTTTATGTTATTTTATTTCTGTTTATAGTGTCGGTGCATCCAAGTCACCTACTGATAAATTGCTGCTATAAAACTATCCAGGAGCACCTTTACTCTTGTCAGCATTTCAGCTGTAAAGCTAAACATACCTGGTCTCCTGCAGTGACAGACATATTATCTATACTCTGTAACTATGGTAAGAAATACATCAGTCTTGTCTCCCAGGATCAGACATATTATCTACTCTCTGTAACTGCGGTAGGAAGTACATAAATCTTGTCTCCCAGGATCAGACATATTATCTGTACTCTGTAACTACAGTAAGAAATATATAAATTGGAAATATATAAACTGGTGTAAAACAAACAAAATGGTGATAAATACAGACAAAACCAAAGTTATGCTTGTAGGCAGTAAACAGAAAAAAAAAAAAAATTCAAAGGAATTATGTATTGAATGTACTGATTCTGGTGATCTTACGTTGGAAAATGTTAAACATGAAAAACTCCTAGGTGTGTGTATTGATGATACCCTTACTTGGAACAAACATGTCCAGGATGTCATCAAAAAGGTCAGTTTCAAAATATATCAGTTATGCAGAATTAAAAAGTTTTACCTGTTTCATCAAGAATCAAATATTTGGGGACATTGTTCTCAGACATATATTAAAAAACTAGAGAGATTACAGAAAAGAGTTTTACGTATAATTATGGATGCAGACTACTCTGTATCAGGCAATGAACTATTCACCAAACTCAAATGGTTACCTTTTAGCAAAAGAGTGAACTACAATGAATGTATACTAATGTATAAAGTACCCCAGTTAGCTAACAAACTGTCCAAACTACTTGGACTGTAATGTGTTTGTGTCCAGTGTACACAGTAGACAAACTAGGGCATCTACTGCTGGTAACTAACTATATCATACCTAAACACAAAACTGAAAAGTTTAGAAATTCCTTCCTATATTATGGACCAACTTTGTGGAATCAGCTTCCAGAAAATATCAAACAATGAGGAACCTTACCAACTTTTAAATTTCATTGTAAAAAATTCATCTCCAATTTACCAACCTAGATCCACATTTTTATGTCAGTCTTATTTTAGCCCTAAGATAATATGGTACCTTTATGAATGTTGCCAATTAATTGTTTTAATTATCAGTCCTGTATCCCTTACAAAACCTCGCTAATTTAATCCTTTTATTATATTATTAGTCACTCTATAACCTTTTTATATACCTCTTCACTATGTGCCTTTATCATTACATTTGTTTTATTGATGTACATCTTAGTCCTTCATGATTATGCTAGTTTACTGTGATATTTGTGATTTTTATATCATATGTGATGCTGTAATCTTAATGTTGTATATATTGTACATTTTACTGTGGACCACTTGTTAGAAGAGTCTTGTACTCAAAGTGTTATCGACTCTTAAATAAAAAAATAAAATAAAGTCATTTATTATAAATCCTGTCTCCCAGGATCATACATATTATCTATACTCTGTAACTACGGTAAGAAATACATCAGTGTTGTCTCCCAGGATCAGACATATTATCTGTTCTCTGTAACTATGGTAAGAAATACATCAGTGTTGTCTCCCAGGATCAGATATATTATCTTTTCTCTGTAACTATGGTAAGGAATACATCAATCTCGTCTCCCAGGATCAGATATATTATCTATACTCTGTAACTACAGTAAGAAATACATCAATCTCGTCTCCCAGGATCAGACATATTATCTATACTCTGTAACTACGGTAAGAAATACATCAATCTCGTCTCCCAGGATCAGACATATTATCTATACTCTGTAACTACGGTAAGAAATACATCAATCTCGTCTCCCAGGATCATACATATTATCTATACTCTGTAACTACGGTAAGAAATACATCAGTGTTGTCTCCCAGGATCAGACATATTATCTGTTCTCTGTAACTATGGTAAGAAATACATCAGTGTTGTCTCCCAGGATCAGATATATTATCTTTTCTCTGTAACTATGGTAAGGAATACATCAATCTCGTCTCCCAGGATCAGATATATTATCTATACTCTGTAACTACAGTAAGAAATACATCAATCTCTTCTCCCAGGATCAGACATATTATCTATACTCTGTAACTAAGGTAAGAAATAAATCAATCTCGTCTCCCAGGATCATACATATTATCTATACTCTGTAACTACGGTAAGAAATACATCAGTGTTGTCTCCCAGGATCAGACATATTATCTGTTCTCTGTAACTATGGTAAGAAATACATCAGTGTTGTCTCCCAGGATCAGATATATTATCTTTTCTCTGTAACTATGGTAAGGAATACATCAATCTCGTCTCCCAGGATCAGACATATTATCTATACTCTGTAACTACGGTAAGAAATACATCAATCTCGTCTCCCAGGATCAGACATATTATCTATACTCTGTAACTACAGTAAGGAATACATCAATCTCGTCTCCCAGGATCAGACATATTATCTATACTCTGTAACTATGGTAAGAAATATATAAATCTTGTCTCCCAGGATCAGACTATAAGTATGGGAAGAATTCCATAAACATTTGCTTTGTCTTTTCTCTTACCATGCTTCATCATACAAATATTTGTAAACTTGGGAACTTCTCTCAAAAAACCAATGGAATAAAATCAGGTTTGATTTACTTACCATCAAAGACATGCTGGAGTAATGGTATAAATCTCCTTTATTTATTTCTTAATTGTTTTTTCTTTGATTAGGTGCAGATCCAAATGAATTACTTCCAAAGTCCTTGGTGCCAAATACAGAATCTCTCCGGTAAGAATTTACATTTGATTTTGAAGTTGCTGCTAGATAGTAAACTTATTTCTTAAACATTCATAAAAATAATTTTGAAACATTTTTACATGAACACAAGGATAGACTTAACACAGCCCAATTTGATGTTAGAACTTAATGATGATGTGAAGTATGTACCCTTTGAAGAGGTAGAAATGTTAATGCTGACTATTCAGATCTTAGACTTCAAGTAGGATTGACACTGAAAATATCAGGACTCAAATTATCAGAGCTATCAGTGATAGATATTGATGATTACTTATTCTTGAGGCTCCTTATGGTACCAGATAGCTAGTGATTGTGACTACATTCTCTAGGCTTCAATTCAGACAGATATTGATAGTAAATTCTTGAGGCTCCACACCTGGTAGATAGCAAAGGTGACTGCATTCTCTTGCTACTTAAGACAGATAATGATAGTAACTTTTTTGAGGCTCCACACCTGGTAGACAACAATGTTGACTGCATTTTCTAGCTACTCATTAGATAGATATTAATAGTAAATTCTTGAGGCTGGGTAGATAAGATATTCTTAAGGTTCATCATCACACAGATACTAGTAATTCAATTCTTTAGGCTCCACACCAGATAGATAATATTCATATTGATAGATTTAAGTCTTGGTCCTCCATGCCAAATCATGAAAAAGTTGATATCTGCTCATTATCATTCAGAAAACCAGCTTTTGTAGTATAATTACCAAATGTCACAGTTTTTATTTATGGATTTTCTTTTTCAGAAAATCCCTTTTTCAGCAGAATAATGAGATTCCACCAGCTGGCAAATACAACCGTGAAAATTTCCGTCTTGTCCTTAGCTCTCTTGCCATGGCATTCCAAATCAGGTAGTCAAATGGTTTAATTGAAATCAGTACATAGCTATAAGCTTTACGATAGATTATTTTGAATTATAGTGAAAATGGTTTATTGAGATTATACATTCATTTCAAACCTGTGTCAGTTTCTTACAAATTGCTTCTCTGGATGTGCCTTTTAAACCTAGCCAGTTCAGATTCTGTGGAAGGGCACAATATTTTTGCTGAGTAAAATGCTAATGCATTCTTTGTGGCTTGTGTATTAATGTTATTTCTGTTGAGAATTAATTAGATAAAGTTCACCAGGTGCATAAAGTTCATCCTCCAATTTATCACATGACTTCTGAATATTTTTCAGGCCTAAGTATACTGACAGGCAGGTTACACAAATGATAGTCATGCTTTGTAAGGCAGCTCTTGACAAATCTCTGAACAAGTAAGTACTTAATTATGCAAATGTTTCACTATCAAATTATGAGAGCATATGATATGTAGTGTATTAAAAGAAAAGAGGTGAAGAACATATTCTATTGCAACCAACTCATTTTTACAGTTATGGGTGATGGTTATTTCAAGAAACTCTCAATTTAAATATTTTTCTTAATACTACTACCTGAGGAATCCCCCAGTGCATTGTTTACCTTGAAATTGACAGCTCTGGTTGATACTATTACCTTGACACATGAACAGTCTTAATCATTGAGAGATCGATGATCAATAAAGTGATGATGACATACCTTTAGCAGAGATGCAAGACTCGATAGGGAACAGCTAGGACTCTTTGATAGTGACAAGTTGAAGTTTGATTTTGATGGCTGGGTGTAGGCTTGATGCACTTTTGGTTGGTTATGATAAACTTGTTTCATTCCAGAACAGTTTTGAATATTCTGTGTTTGCTAGTTAAATCAGCTTTTTCATTGCCTTTCTCACATCTGACAAGATTTTGTGTAGCCTGCAGTTTTAACAGTTTTGGAAACATTTTGTCAGATAGCCCACTTAATCAGAAAGCACAAATTATCAATAAAAGCAAAATAAAACTTCCAAGTTTTCATTATTTTGTGTCAGATTAAGCCATAGGTAAAGGTCTGATTTTTCTTAATTATTGAAGATTTAGTAAAGACCTTGGGCTACATTTTTCAGAATATTGTACATGATTGTATAATTTGTGTTCAAGCTACATGTTGACTCATGAGTTTGAAGTTGTGCTGGCCTCACTGATGAAGTTGTACACAGAAGCTGACTGGACCTCTCAGGTAACAATGATCAGTATATGCTGCAAGCATTTATAGTAACTCAAGTAAAGTCAACATTCATATAATTATAAGTTTATATACTTAGTTGAAGGATAATTTTAGTAATAAATAAATGTTTGTGATTATTATTTCTTGGAACATAATCTTCAAATATACGTTTTAGATGTTTTCTGTTGACTTTGTATAAAATACACTGTATTAAACTTATTACATTTACTACAGTCGCTGATATTGTGTCGAGAGTTGTCTACCTTGACAGAACATCACCATAACAAGGTTTACTTGGCTCAGTTACTTCCCCCTACCACAAAGGGAAATTTCCTTCAGAGGCGTGTCAGTTTCTTGATGATACACCAACTTTTCTATCCAGATCAGAAAATTTCTGATGATGTTGTCCTGCATTTCCAGGTATGTCATTGAGTTACTGATAAAAGATGCATTACAAAATCTTATACAAACTAACAAGGATTAGGGTACATTATCTCAACCTGGTTTGTTAATTGTCAGTGAAAATTAACAAGTTTACAGCATTTGTCCATCTACGAACACTTTGAACGCTATTCCAGAAAATGAATAGATTTTTTATTTGATATAGAGAATTATTGGAAGGGGAGTTCATATAACCACATGTATGAAATATGATCCCTCAGAAGACAGAGAGGCAGGAGCTCAATGTCTAAAATGGAGATATAGTGTACAAGTTGAACATTTTAAAACCCTACAGGATATGAAAAAAAAATTTGGAACCAGGAAATACATTTATTTTAAAGAAAGGGTTTAATCTCTTACAACACTGAGATGCAGCACCCAAAATTAAAAAATGAGAGATTTGGACATTTTTGCTGAAATAATCAGGGGATAATGGAGAGCCTTTTCTGGAGGTTTTGATTAAAGAAAAAAAATATTATGAACATAAATACAGTGAACTTGTACTAGTGAAAGCCTAAGTTGAAAAGAGTGAATCCTTCAGATGTTATCCAGAAATTACTTCTTTTTCAGGCAGCAGTATTGTAATCTGTTTCTTGAACACATGAATTGGTTTTGTCATGAACCTACTAAAGTGGAATCCCATTTGTTTTTAATACTAAATTAAAGCTTTTTGAATTTGTACTATTAAGATTGAGTTACAAAACTCTTAATTAGTAAAGGTGAGGGTTTATTTTTTTTTATTCCTAATACTCGACTAAGACTACTGTTATTCCAAGTGATCTCCCTTTACTTAAATTATCATCACAGAAGGTAGGCTTCAAACATTTAAATCAAAGACAAGAACTTGTCATCTAACCTTTATTTGCACTTGTTTGTTGATGTAGCTGAATCGAGTTCACAATGTTCTGCCACGATTACAAGGGCTAGCTGATGAGGACATCTATATGTTGGCAAGCTCTGTTAGTCTGTTGGACCTGTGCATTGGAAATGGACTAATCAAGTCTGCAGAGAAGGTTATTTTATTTTTATTTGTTTTAAATTCTGTCCCGAGCAATAATAATTCCTAAAAGAAATGAAACATTTAATTAGTTTTCCTTCAGTTCTGTCATCCTGTATGTAATTTAAGTATTTTTTGTTCTCTCCCTTTAAATGATTTAGTTTGATGATGTGCTGTTGTCTTATGTCGCTCCCTCTTCAAATTTAGAATGTATATCGCTGAAAATGTTTGCTATGTGTACATCACACATTGTATGCAAGTAAGTCAAAGTCAGCTCTCTCCTTTCTTGAAAATTTGGTGAAATACAAAATATGAAGAGCATATCTGCATTCACTTAAGTGCAAACCACAAAAGATACATCTAGTGATATGAAATGACTAAAATGATATACATACAGGATGAATCATAAAACAGAGAATCGGGGAGAAAGTTTAACTGCAATGTTTTTATTATGCTCCTGGAAAATATTTGTAGGAGCATATAATTACCACTTTGTCCATCTTCCCTTCTGTCCTTTCATGTCTGGAGCATAAATTTTAAACAGTTAAGCAAGGATCATGAAATTTTGCGAATGCATTGGTCATATTAAGGCAATGTACAATGTACCAAATTGGAACGGCCCAAGACCGCTCAATTACAGAGTAATTGCCTTTTGTTACAATTTGGTGTCTGGAGCATAACTTTGCTTGTGTTAAACTAAGATAATGCAACTTGGTGAATACATTGGTCATACTGAAAGGATGTTCAATGTAACAAATTCAAGGCCTCAATTACAGAGTTATTGCCCTTTGTTAAATTTTGTGTTTAGAGCACAAATTTAGATTGCTTGCATTTAAACTGGGATAATGAAATTATAGTGTATACATTGATCATGCAAAGACGATGTTTAGTGTACCAATGTTTCGGCCCGCAAACCCCCTAAATTACAGAGTTACTGCCCTTGTTTATATTTTGTGTCTGGAGCATAATTGCCCATTGTAAAGCAAGGATCCTGAAACTTGGTGTATACATGGGTCATGCTAGGGGGATTTGCAGTGTGCAAATTTTGGGGCACTCAGCCCTTCTATTACATACTTATACCCCTTTGTTAAAGTCTCATGTGTGAAGCAAATTAGAATAATAAAAATTTGTGGATAAATTGATGATACAAAAACATTAAATTGAAGTTGTTTTTGGGAAATATACATCAGTTTCACTGATACTCTTGTTTTTTTGTAGGAAGATTTGGAGTATATTACAGAGCAGATGAAAAAACTGACTGGGGAAGTGAGAGACAATGTGAGGATGTTAGACAAGACTCGCGTAAGTATTATTAACAAACAGACTTATCATTAACAGTTATGAATTTCCTATGTTCATGAAAAAACATAAAAAAAATTTTAACAGAAGTTCTTGTATGACAACTATTAAGAAATTTTCGTTAGATGTTTCATTTTCTGTCAACTGGTTTTGGCCTGTTGATTCACCACCATCTCTGCACTGCATTGTCAATAAGCTTCACACTGGTTATTCATCTGAAGAATTGAAAATGACATTGTGGTCATTGAAAGGTCACATATAAATTCTTAGTTATTGTGGTGATAGCAAATCATATTCTATATATACTTACATATCCAAAGAAAAAAATTCATAATGATAATAGCTTTCCTTAATATGCATTTTCTGGGGGCAATTTATGTTGTATAGCTCAAATACCAAGAAGGGGGAACTAGTTTCCGTGTGTGCTGCAGAATCTCAGAAACATCAAGGCATGTTAAGACATGCAAGTACATTCCAATATCAACATTACCTACATTCATAAAGACAGTAAACTGATGTAGAATACTTTTATATTAAGAAATTATAAAGGCATTGATACATGTTGAAGACTTATATCTTTTATTACCAAATATAGCTGTTTTGTTTATTTCATGTTTCAGATAAAAGACATGATGATAAGAATAACAAGCAAGTGGACTTTGGTACTCCTCAGTACTGGCAGCAAACAGGTGAATTTCTGATATTAAAGCATAATTCTACATCCTTTCATTATCTTATTGTTTATAAAGTGAGACCTGTAGATTTGGAGTCTCAGGAAATAAGATCAGATATTGCTTTATCATAATCAGAAGTGTGGTATATTTCATCATTTACCTTCTCATTTTACAGAGAACTCTCTTTGAGTGTCCTGGTAATTTTAGGAAGTCTCTATCTGAAGTGAAGATTGAGACTGTGGATGCTAGTCAGACTGATCAGGCTTCTGAATCCGAGGAAGAAGACACTCAGTCCGAGGAGGAGAATCCACCATCAGAGGGGGAAAAACATAAAAAAATCAAAACAAAAATCAAAACAGTAACAGTTGATGAGAAAAATGGGAATATGTCTGCATCAGTAGGTGATGAAAGGATGGAGGTGGATGAGGATGATGATTTACCAGAATTGTAAAACTGCCATCTTTTCTCACAGATTAGCTGGAGCATGGCAACCATTATTCTGATGACAGTAGTATAAAATTGATTTAGTTATAAGGTTAATGGGGATATAAAACTGGATTCTGTCGTCTCTGTATTCAATCTGCAAGACCTTTTCAAATAATTCAACAAAATTTCCTACACCTGAGTCCAGTGGTCTAGTGCAGGAAGTTCCTTCTGCTATAGAGGCATTTTCAGTCTCGGTCTTTCTTTTGGTTATCAGGAAAACAAATAGTAAAATTCATTGATTCTAATTTTTCCAGAATATATCTCCAAAACCTTAAAACAACTTCATTAATCACCACTTTTGTTCCATCCATCATATGGACTGTTACCTTTAACCTTCCTATTAAATGAAAAAGCTCAGCCAGATAGACAGATGGCTGAGCTCCCATCAGGGGAGGATGGGTGAGGGAGTAAGTGTCTGAACAAGTATGTCCTAGTCAATGTAATGAATATACTTATCAATGTGATATCTTCACTTGTTATTATGATGTTAATTTGGCAATGACATCACAAATTAAACTCATGATGTCCTTGTGCCCCATAAATGAGTTTGATGAGTTACAGGTAACTAGTGAGAATTTCTGAAAATGACAGAATGACAGTTAAGGTGTGGTTATATACTCATTAATGCCTGCAGTTATTAGATAATTAATTTGGGATTTAATTTTAAAACATTGTTGGACTTTACTTCAAGTTTTAAAACATTGAATGTTAGTATAATTTGTGGTTGATTGGTTGATATATTATAAAGAATGGTCTTGTATCTGGTCCGATTCTGAAGTACTGGGTGGATTTTTTTTTAAATTTCATATGTAGGGACCCCTTGGTCCTTAGTTGTGCCATTTGCTTTTGGGACTGATCAGAAAAATAAAATAGCTGGCAATCTTGGATTTTGACATTGAGATGTTATTATAGAATTTTCTCCATAGGTACTGAATGGATCTGTTGCAAATTTCATATGCAGGTTTCCTTGATCCCTAGTTGTGCAATTTCAATTTTGATGATGCTAGTAAAAACAGAATGGCTGACATGCAGCTAGCTTGAATTTTGACAAAGAAATTATGTTATAGCAATTTCTTGAGAAGTACTGGATGGATCTTTCTCAAATTTTATATGAAGGTTGTAGGTTCCCTTGGTCCATTGTGCACTTTTGATTTTGGGACTGATCAGAAAGACAAAATACTGACATATAACCATCTTTTGCTTGGCATTGGCAGATTATTATTCCTATTTCTGTAGAGGAATTTGGTATAATTAAGATAAAAAAGTGGAAAGAAGTGAAAATTTCCAACATTTAAAGAACAAATAAAGATTAAACAATGGTCATCAAGATTCTTGTGGTATCTTTTGTTTCCTAAAGCATTTCTGTAAAGATGTAACGGGATGAAAAGATACCAGAAAACTTTAAAGTAAATTTATTTTAATTCCATGTAGGATCTGTACCATTCATCGCTACAGCAAGGTTCTGATGTAAAATCCTTTTATAGATTTTATTACATCAGGGGTTGCACAATGCAATTCAATTTGTTGTTTTTTAACTTGTATGACTTAGTCTTACTCTCCTTTCTTGTCAATTTAAATCATTTCATGTGGAATTACAACAAAAAGCGTTCATGTGTTGTAATGTTTTATTGATTATTAGCTTGTGTCCGAGAGATTTGATTTTAGGTTTTGTACATGTATGAATCCTGTACTTTATACCTCCACTATTTGAAGAAAAGGGTGCTAAAGAAGTCAACCAAGTATAAGCTGTACTGCACCTTAATATGTTGATTTTTTTAGCCTATGTGTTCAAGCATTACTGGATCACAAATGTCAGTTGGTTGTTGAGTACGAAATAGTTTATGAATAAGTATGACTTATTGTCATTATGCCGAACCATTTTCTGGTGTCCAAAAGGGTAAATTTTTGTTTGTTAATTTTGGAAGCAAGTCATATGTTTTAGGTTTTTGTATTTTTCAGTTCGTTTAGAACTAGATAACTAATTTCAATTGGCAGTTGACAATTAAAAAGTTAAAAAATTAAAATCAATTATCAGTATGCTGAACCATATCTTAAATATTTCTTACTCCCAAAAGGAGTAAATTTGTTTGTTAATTTTAGGAGCAAGTCGTATAAAGTCAACTTATTTCAAGCAGTACTAATCACAATCTTCAATGGGCATAAATCATGAAATAGCTCAAGCATTAAAATGAATCGTTAGCAATATGCTGAACCATATTTTTTCATAACAAAATTAAATTTACAAAAAGTGGTAATTTTGTATTCATATGAAACATGTCATCAATAGGTGAGCTCAAACATATTGTGCTTTATCTGCATTAGTTATTATTTTTCTCGTGGAGAATGTAAGTTTGACATAAATAAATGAAAGTTGGAGTAGATGCTTTCCTGAACACTTGAAAAGTCTCTCTGTAAATGTATACATATGTATATAGATGTACATTCCTGACCAGATAATATGTAAAATACTTAAAATGATAATGTATGGAAAACATGACCAACTGAAACTAGTCCAAGAAAACATGGAGGTTGACTTTGTGAATAACTTTGATTGATATGGGTGTCCACTCAATAAGATGTGATGGTACAGGCATAAATTATAAAAAATTAAACCCTTAAAAGATTATCTGTGGAAACATTATGTAGATCCCATGAAAAAGAAAACCAAACAAACAGTAAACAAAAGATATTCTGTCTATGAAAGAAGCTGATCGCAGTCGTGAGCTCTGCCAGGAAATGAAATCATAGAGACTTAAGATTGAGGTTTTCATGATTGAAATAATTAAAAAGTATTTGAATGAAGTGCGGAGGATGGGTTGAATAGTATTTGAGAGTGTAAGAGTGATATTGTATCTAAAATGAGGAAAGAGGAGCTTTGTTATCTTTTATTAAACAAATATTTTTTTTAATTTCTTTGTTGGAGTTGTTCTTACACTGTTATCCATAGAATGAACTGATCAGAAGATTATTATTATTATTTCACGTCATCGGGAACTAACCTGACAATCCCTAAATGATGACGACACTCAGTTACATTGTGAAAGCTAGCTAGTCAATCCAAACGCACACTGCAAGCATGCCATAACTGTTAATTTTTGATACATTCCGAAACCCGGGCATAATTACTTGTATCACAGTGTTTCTGAAAGCAAAATCCAAAAACCTGTTTTCTTCATTTCTTATTTATGGTCTCGGTAGCCCAGTCGGACCACGAATGGAGACTAAAACTTTCTTATTTATGGTCTGGGTAGTCGGATGAGGAATAGAGACAGGAAACCTAATTGTAATGGACATACAAGTAGGTCATATAATTGACAATTGTGTCGACTACGAGAGTCTGCTTTGTGCTGTGTCAAATTCTCATTGTAATTGCCATTGAATTATCTGGGAAACTGCTAAATAAGTAAATAATGAAATTAAATAGAAACCTACTGGCGCGGGATAACTAGATTTTTAACTTGGACTCGACCGCCACCAAGAACGTGTTTAATTGCTTTATATATCCAGCGATGTTAAACTGCTTGTAAACCGGAAGTAAGTTGTCGATTTGAAAGCAGTGTAAAGTGAGCATTATAAAAGCATTTGTATGTCAATTATATATAGGAATATAGTTAGTATTTAAGTATTATATGTAAGTCTACTTATACAAAAAATGTTACCAATTCACTGTGATAGTAATTATCATAGGAACTATACTGCCCTTTCCATATCGGACTATTTAATGAGTAATATGACGAATATCGTTTGTCATTTCTACGAGACGCTTAGTATAGATATTACTTTTCTATCACACCGGAGAGAAATATCCACACTTCCGGTAAAGGTAAGATTATTAGGATCTTTCCCTAGCTGGAGGGTAGGACTGAGAAATCTCTACTTGAGGAGGAGATTCTTGATTATCTAAATCCGAGGCTTTGTCGAGGTGCATTTGTACGCACAATGTTTTTGGTGCGTTGTGCTTTACCACAACTGTATTGAAATACTGGTTTTGTAATGTGTGAGGAAAAAGAGCTTTTTTTGAGAATTGATTTCAGAAGAGATTTGATTGGCTGAGAGGGATAATTTGTTCTGGGGAGAAAGGTATAAAAGGGAGCGCGAAAGACATACCCGCCAGAGAGTGTCCTAGGCTCAGTTATAACCGGAACAAGGACGTTAAGCTCAAAAAAAAAAAAAAACATACCCGCGGAGACGAAAAACTTCCAACAACAACAACAACATACCCGCTCGCTAAAGATCCATCTGTGGCTTTACGATAAAGAGTAGACGTGATAACGCCGGTTCAGGGGTTTGGGGATAGTGTTAGGCTAAACAATTATATTTAAGGTATTTGACAGACTTTAAAATTACCCCAACATAAATCAAATCTAGGTAGACCCCCCGATTCAGCTTCGAGACATGTTTCAGCTGCTAGAGTTGGTATAAGGCATTATTAGGCCCAAGAGCCGTCTTCTAAAGTAAGTAAGGTTCCATCCTTATGGTGAGGATACAGATGTCCTCTCACGTCACCAGAACATTGACGACCTTCATATATATCATGTATATAAAAACCAGACCACCGTGTAACAGGAACCACGTTCATTACAATAACCTGATATCCACAACGAGACTTCCGGTCCCGCATGTAGGTCAATACAAATTCCATTCAGCATAAATGAAACGGAACGCACCTACATGGAATTATACACATATATACAACATCTCCCCTTTTAATAAAAGAAGATTATCATCCAAGCTCAACACTCTTGATTTGATACTTTTATATATCATTCCTCAAATCAATTACCCTTATCCTATATGTGAATATCCAAGTCAATTTCATACACTATGATTGATGGAATTATATGTTCACTTTGCCAAGTTCATAAGCTTTGTAACATATAAATATATATAATCAGAGCCAAGTTCATATTTTTTTTTTTTTTTTTTGATTTGAGAAAGTTCATCACATAATTTCGGAATCTTTCTGGCACTAGTTGGTTCGGAGTCGAGCTCTGGCTCAACAAACTCATCATCATCCTCCTCGGATCCTGTGTCTGATTTAACATAATCCTCATCATGGCTGTCTGAGGTTGATTGTGAATCATCAGGAATCTTTACGAACTCGTCATCTCCAATTTCCTCAAATGTAAAACCCTCAGAGGACATTGATGGAGATAAATGGACCCGGTTGCGCCTTAGAACAATTCCTCGGGGTGTCTGTATCTCATACGAACGATCACCCTTTATACCAATTACTCTGGCTGTTTCCCACTGATACATTCCTTTGTTTTTGTACTTCACATTGTCACCTTTCTTAAATGGCTGAAGTGTTTTTGATTTTCTATCATAATACACCTTTTGTTGTCTTTGTTGATTTTTCACCCTTTTATGTGCCTTGATATTGCGAGTTGATGGCTTCAACAGCTTTGACGACATCGGGAGTAAAGACCTTAAACGACGTCCCATCTACAGTTGAGCTGGTGATGAGCCTGTTTCTCCTGGTGTATTTCTGAACTCCAACAATGCCAAATATGGATCCTTTCCATCCTTTACAGCTTTTTGAAGCATGTTTTTAACTGTTTGTACAAATCTCTCTGCCATACCATTGCTTTGTGGATGATATGGGCTACTGGTGACATGTTTGAACTTCCATTCTTGGCTGAATTGCTTGAATTCTCTCCCACTATATTGCGGACCATTATCCGAAATGACCTCGGTTGGAATGCCGCAACGTGCAAATAAAGACTTCATGTGATTAATCACCGTTGTTGAGCGAGTGTCCTTCAGTATCGACATCTCCACAAACTTAGAATGGTAGTCAACTATCAGCAAATAACTATGTCCTTCGAATTGGAACAAGTCTGTCCCTACCTTTTCCCATGGCCCTGTAGGTATGTCGTGAGATTTCAGTGGTTCCCATGTATTTGCATTTCGAAAAGTACAACAAATGTCACACTTGGATACAAAATCCTCAATCTGACCACTTATCCCTGGCCAGTATAATGCTTCACGTGCACGGGTTTTACACGACGTCATGCCAAAATGACCTTCATGTATGACCTTCAGCATTGCCTTCCTCACGGTTGTAGGAACAACAATACGATCACCTTTGAATAGGATGTGATTACTTAAAGTTAAGTCATTGAAATAAGGCTGTACACTCTCTGGTACTTGATGCTTGTCATCTGGCCATCCTTCTTGTATAATAATACTTAATTCTTGCAGGGTTGGGTCCTTGAGTGTTTCCCTTTGAAACTCGTCCATTTTGGTTGTGGTTACAGGTAGACTGTTCATCACTAGATGAATCTGAGCCTCTACATCCGCAGTAACATCCTCACTCTCCTGGTGTGATAAAGGTGACCTTGACAACTGGTCTGCTACGTGCATTTCCTTTCCTGGTTTATAAATGACTCTTATCTGGTATCGCTGTAACCTCATGAGAAGTCGTTAAAGTCTGGGAGTTGTCTCCCCTATCGCCTTTTTCACCACTGTTACAAGAGGTTTATGATCAGTCTCTACTAAGACCTCTCTACCGTAGACATATTGATGGAACCGTTCACATCCATATACTATGGCCAGCAGTTCTTTCTCTATCTGTGCATAGCCTTTTTGGGTTTCATTAAGTGTTTTTGACGCATACTCGACTGGTCTTTCATCCTGTAATAACACAGCTCCTAAACCATACTTTGATGCATCTACAGACAGCTTGACAGACTTCTTCTCATCAAAATATTGTAATATAGGTGTGTTTGTTACTAATGCTTTGAGAGCATTAAATGACTCCTCATGACACGCTTCCCAAACCCACAACACATCATTTTTCAATAGAGCACGAAGCGGTGCAGAAATTGTTGACAGGTCCTTGACAAACTTTGCCAAATAGTTTATCATCCCCAGGAAACGCTGTAACTCTTTCTTGTTTTCAGGTGTAAGCATTTCCACAATCGCCTTTACTTTTGCTTCGTCAGGCTGTATTCCATTTCCTGAATATTTGTGCCCAAAATACACCACCTCTGTCAGCCCAATTTTACATTTGTCCTTATTCAGGGTCACATTTGATTCTTGTAATTTGTTCAATACTTGCTCAAGCCTCTGTTCGTGTTCCTTAAGTGTTTCTCCCCATACAAGAATGTCGTCAATTATGGATTTGACACCTCGGAGACCTTGAAGAATGTTACATATCCGCTTGTGAAAAACTTCGGATGCACTTTTGATCCCAAATGGTAGCCTCTGAAAACATTACCGACCAAACGGTGTGTTAAAGGTTGTTAACCTGGAACTTTCAGCATCTAACTTGACTTGCCAGAAACCACTACTTGCGTCCAGCTTGCTGAAATATTTTGCTACTAACTTCCTCAGATGTAGGTAACTGATAATGTTTCCGTCTTATAGCAACATTTAGATCTTTGGGATCTAAACAAATGCGTAGCTTGCCATTAGGTTTTTCTGCGACAACTATAGAGCTAACCCATTCTGTAGGCTCATCAACCTTAGTTATTACTTGAAGATCTTCTATGCGAGTAAGTTCCTTCTGCACTCTATCTCTCAAGGCTACAGGTAAACGACGTGGAGCATGTACAACAGGTTTCACAGTTGAATCAATCTCAATATGATGCTCACCGTGTAAACAACCCAGTTTATCACTGAATAAGGCATCAAATTTGTCCAGTACACTCGACTGCTTGTTGGACTTGACTACATCGACCTTGACCTGTTTCACCAAGTTCCATTCCTCACATGTTTGTTGACCCAACACTGGCATGGAGTTGAGTTTCACGACTAAAAACTCCACATACGCTTCTCTGTGTCTGTTTTTGCACATCAGAAAACACTTTCCTACTACTGGAATACTTTGTCCACTGTATGTTGACAACCTAGCATCTGTTTGTTGTAGTTTCACATTTCCTTTCAATTTCCGGAATGTTTTCTCAGGTAACACATTTGCCTCTGCACCGGTGTCCAACTTCAAATTGATCATGTAGTTGTTAACATTTATTGTTGTTTCCCAACCATGATTTCTATGACGATTTACAACACCAATAAATAATTGGTTTACAGTCTGGTTTCCATTTCTACACATAGATTTGTAATGATTTTTATTTCCGCATTTATAGCATGTTTTCCCATATGCAGGACACTGTCTCGGGGCATGTTCAATTCCACACCTTCCACAGGCTTTACCAGTCTTCTGGGAAGTACCTGAGTTTGGTCTTTGTCCAAATTTTTTCTGACTGGGCTTGAATTTAGACTTCGTATTACCTGACGGATGAACAGGCTTGTTCTGTTTTACCACACTAACTTTGTTTTCATCGTGGCTTCGGTCTCGTTCAAGTCTTTCATCTGAGCTTTTGTAGACTCGGCAATACGACAAATTTCAACTGCTTTAGCTAGTGAAAGTTCAGGTTCCCTTAAAAGCCCAACTCTTACTGTATCTGACACTATTCCTCCCACAATTCTGTCCTTAATTAGGCTCTCGTGAAGTGCAGCGCACTCACATTTCTTTGCCTGATGTTTTAACTCCGTGACAAATTGGTCTATACTTTCAGACTGCCCTTGTGACCTCGTGAGAAATTTGTGTCTCTCATACGTAATATTCTTCAAGGGTGAGCAATGAGATTCAAATTTATCAATTAGTGGTGTTCTGTTATTGATTACAACGAGGAGGACATGTATTTTGCAGGAACACTGGACATTTATTCAGCACTGGTGTTTACATCATGGCAGCCGTCGAGCTCTCCCTTAAAACGAGGCTGTCCTATAGTCTATATCAGAACACTATACTGCAATATTGACCTAACTATAAGTATAGTCTGTATCATAAAATGTAATGGCTAACACCACATCTCCCTTTCTAGGAAATCGGAAACAAAGTTCAAACACTTACTTAACTTGAACACTGAAATTTCAAATAGTGTAAAAAAAAGTCCATGACTAGACTACTTGACTAGATATCACTATAACTAAATATAACTAACACTACACCATGCAAAAGAACTACAAGTTCATTTTCTGTGGAGGTTTCGATAACCTTCCTGACCTAGTTCTATGGCTAAAAATATTAGTATCAGTTGGAGTTCACACTTTGTAGGTGTTGGTGAGATGGTTCTTTCAACAACGGTTTTTGGTTCCACGTGAGAATCCACATCTGATTCCGGCTCACGTGCTGATGGTTCCAGTTTGGGTGCACTTACAAGCTGACGTCTATTGCGACGAATGTTACCGGAGGATGTCGCAATCCAGTAAGACCTGTCGTTGTTGTCAATTGGCGATGTGACCTTTGACCCACACAGTCTCACCAGGCCTTAGTTTTGGGAGACTCACCGCACGATGAGAAATGTCAAAGTTCTCTTTTTGGTTTTCCTTGTTCACTTCCTCCTTCAGTTTGACTTCCTCAAGATAAGGCCATTGGGGGTTAAGACTTGAAGGGTTTACGGGAAGAGTGGTCCGCAATTTCCGTCCCATCAGTAACTCAGATGGGCTATATCCATTTTGTAATGGAGTCGCGCGATAGGCTAACAGAGCCAAGTACGGATCTGGCGAGTTCTGAATGAGTCTTTTCAATGTTTGAACCGCTCTTTCTGCCTCTCCATTACCTTGGCGGTAGTGGGGGCTACTCGTTGTGTGCCTAAAACCGTATTCGTTGGCAAAGTTCTGAAACACCGAACTGACATACTGAGGGCCATTATCAGTAATGAGGATTTCCGGAATCCCATGGCGTGCAAAAATGGACTGCAAATGTCCGACAACAGCCTGCGATGTCGTCGACGTCAGTTTTGCAACTTCAATGAATCGAGAAAAGTAGTCTACGACCACTAGGTAGTTAGTGTTTCGAAGCTGACAGAGATCTGACCCAACCTTCTGCCATGGCCTATCTGGGTGCTTACTCGGTCTTAGGGGTTCAGCTTGGTCATTCCGATGTTTTACACATGAGGTACAGTTCTTTACGAGGTCCTCTATTTCACGACTCAGACCTGGCCACCACACTGAAGATTTTGCTCGTTTGCGGCATTTAACTATGCCTTGGTGACCTTCGTGTAATCGTTGAAGGCTTTCGGCACGTAACTCGGTAGGTATCACCAGTCGATTACCTCTGAACAGGAGTCCGTGACATACCGATAGATCCTCCCGCACTTGCCAGTAGGGTCTTGTAGAGACTGTGATTGCGGGTTTCTCATAAGCTGGCCAGCCTTCCTGACAGTACTTCATGATGACACTACACACGGTGTCCTCGGCGATCTTAGCTCGAATTTCGGCTAAACGCGGTTCTGACGCTGGCAAGCTCTCCATGATTAGGTGAACATAAGTTTCTGTTGCCTCCTGAAGTTCTGTGTCTTGGGGCTGTGACAGGGGCAAAGGAGACCGCGACAATGTGTCTGCAGTGTACAGAAGCTTTCCTGGTACGTAGGTAATATCATACTCAAATCTCATCAATCTCATCCTAAACCTTTGTATCCTAGGAGGTAGGTCGCAGATTGCCTTCACACCTAATAGTGAGACAAGAGGCTTGTGATCAGTCTCAATGAGAAAATGCTTTCCTATGAGGAAGTCTGCGAATTTCTCTGTAGCCCAAGTTACTGCAAGCGACTCTTTCTCCACCTGTGCGTAGCGCTGTTCCGTAGAACTCATAGCACGTGATGCATACGCGACTGGCTTCCAAGATTCGTTTTCCCCATTATCTTCAGACTGTAGGAGAACCGCTCCTAATCCATAGGCTGATGCATCTGATGAAACTTTAGCTTTAGCCTTAGGATCATACAAAGCTAAGACTGAGGTCGAACCCAGTTCCTTCTTGATGGTTTCGAAAGCCTTTACTTGAGGTTCTTCCCATATCCATGAGTTTTCCTTGTGCAACAGGTCGCGAATTGGCTTTGAGAGCTCCGCTAGATTTGGAGTGAAACGGCCAAGTTGGTTGACCATTCCAAGAAATCTGCGTACGCCACTTATGTTCTCAGGTGCCTCAAAGTCAACTATTGCCTGAACCTTTTTAGGGTCCGGTCTAATACCGTTCTCATCGATCACGTGTCCCACGAATGTTATACTCGACTGGTTGAACTAACACTTGTCGCGATTAAGGGTTAAGCCTGCCTTAGCTACTCTGCTAAGCACTTGCTCTAAACGTCTGTTGTGTTCTTCCTGACTTGAACCGAATACCAGTACATCATCCATCTGGCACACTACTCCATCTATCCCTTCCAGGAGCTTAGTCATGCGCTTCTGGAAGTGTTCCGGTGCGCTAAATATTCCGAAAGGTAGTCTGTTGAAGCAGAACCTCCCAAACGGCGTCATGAATGTAGTTAAGAGTCTGGAGGACTCTTTCAGAGGAACTTGCCAGAACCCAGAGTTGGCATCGAGTTTCGAAAAAAACTCGCGCTCCGGTTAGTCGATGAAGCGTATCCTCTACACTCGGAAGTTGTATTGTTTCGCGACATACCGACTTG